GGACCATGTACACTCCAGGGCATCTCGATCAAGCATGTCCCCACACCTTCGGCCAGAGTCCCCACCAAGGGGGGACAGTAACCAACAGGGAAAGGGTAAGGCACGGATTGACGATGACCCCGATAGTCCAACAGCCCCCTCCAGTAGCACCAATGCTACCAAACCTACCAACTTATGCTCTGCCTTCACCACCTACTCCAACAGTGCTCACTGCGCAGCCCTCGACCTCCTCGCCATGGCTGCCTCTGCCCAGCTTGACCAGCAGTGACTACCAATCTCAGCAAGTGATTACTTGGACATTGTTAGGGCGCTTGACATCTTCCATGATGGGGACAACATTGATGGGTGCTCACCAGAACAGGTTGAGTATTTTGGGTTGTTGTCTCAAATCTACAGAGCATCAGATGTAGTCAATGGGCTGGTCTCAAAGGTCCAAACTTGGAAGTTAAGTGGAACTGTGCCACTATTGGAGGTAATAATGATCAACATGTTGGAGAAGGCTTCTTCAGATCTTACCAAAGCCATAACTGGAGGAGTGTATCATCATTTACATAACCAACAGATAGGAGAGTTCTTGGCACTGCCAGCTTCCTGGGTTCTCGAGCATATCAAACTGAAACAAGAGGAACCATTGGTTTCAGAAAAATTGAAAGTAGACATCTTGGATCAGGAGAAGGAGAAGCAATGGCATGCCATCAAACTTGGCTTTGTCAACTCTGGCAAGCTGTTTAAAGAGGTTGGTGCTTGCCTCGGGACTGGTACTCACAACTCTGCCTGGGAAGTTTTGCTGCAGGATGTGTCATGGGCCAGAATCCATAAAAACTATCATAACACCGTCCACTCCACCAACCCTCTCCCTGCAACTCCCTTCATCCCTGTCCCTGCAGATCAACTCAACTTTGGTTCTATCTCGGAGGCCAGTCACCCGTTCCCCCAGAGCACATCCTTTATCAACATGTGTGCTACCAGTGTCATTACCTGGGACATTGGTCTTGCTGCAACAGACATGGCTCCCACTATACTCCAGCCCTTGAAGAACCACCGACTCCATTGCCACTGTCACCCATCACCTCCCGGATGCGCTCCCGTGTCTATACTACTTGCCGACCCCTATCTGTTCGCTCCGCCAATGCAACTTCCAGCCCGTCCTCAAGGGTCTGAGGACCTTAGAGGGGGGGTGATGTTATGCTTCCATCAGGGGTCTTTCCTTTTTCGACTTCTTTCAGTCACATGCATCACATGCCTCGTCATGTCTCTAATAGTCATCGCCATCCTAGGGGCTTGAATGCTCCAGGGAACGTTCAGATCTCCCACTGTCAAGGTATTTCCAATACCTGTCGAGACTGTGTTGCCACTGTGATCCAGTATTCCACCGCCCTCTCTGATGGATGACTTGTTCATTTTTTGCTCCGTTCTGACTCGTTTCTATTGCCTACATGTTGTACTATAGCTCTGGTGTCAGGCTCTTCGCTGCGCATTGATTGCGCCAGCCAGTATAGCCTTCATTGCCTCCCTACCCCCATCTTTGACACTGTATGACTCCTATTTATTTGACTGATTGTTTTGTTGACTACTGCAGATACGTGTCATGACTGGTACAGTACTCACACTTAGGGGTATATAACCCTACATACTTCGTCCTGTGTCTGCAGTTTTTCAATAGCTTGCAACTGCACTTCATCCCTTTGCTCTAATCCTTGTTCTCTCTCCATGCAAACAACCTTAGGGACTTGCCAGCAGACAGAACCTCTGTTGGATTACTGCAATAACTCAGCCATAGGGGTTATGACAAGTTTGGCTCGTAGTCTCCCCCTTGCATGCTTCATGCCTATTCCATTTGAAGAAGTCACCATGCTTGGGCATAACACTTTGCAGTCCTGAGATTTTTTCATCTTCCAATTCCCCTCACTGTCCAAATGGGTCTTCTGCCATGCCAGGTATGAGTTGCTTGCTAAGTAGTCCAGCTTCCAACTGTTCTTCGCAAATCTGAAAAGCAGGAATGCACTCTCCATGAGGTTATGAGTTAATTGCCTACCACTCACACACAACCAACCCCAAGATTTTGCAGCCAGTTTGTGGTTAGCTAATTCTGCCCACCCCCCTCAAAGTGTCTTTCAGATGGCCTTTGCTGTGCTGTCAGATGGTGGATCACCATTGTCTTCCTTGAGGAATCCAAGTGTCCTGCATGTGCTAAGTCATCCCTGAGATGACTCAAGGAAGGTATTCCAATTGCTTTGATCCCAGAAATGGATTTTCAGATGAGTTTCAGGTGTTGGGCATGTAAAATTGCTTGGAGATGACTGTGGGACCATCATCATATCAAACCATGCTGGGTCTGTTTCACATAAGCCAACTGCACCTGCTAGGTGCTGAAATGCACCCCTGCATCTGTCAATCAAAAGTTAGTAGATGTGTCAGTTAGATGTTACTGTAGAGTATTATTTTCAACAGTCAACTTGAAAACTTGTGACTCAAGTACTTTGTTGCACTCTTGTAGTACTGCAATCTGCTTCAAGCTGGGATGACTATATGTGCCCTAAAACAAAGTGATCAGTCAAACTGACTTGAGAAATGTGTAACTTATGCTATGAAATGGGGACAGTGCGGACATGGTTCTTCTAAATTGCTTGGGAAAGAGCTGTGATAAAATGAAGTGTATCCTTTAGTACCTGAAGAACTGCTTTCTCCTGCAATTCTGAAAGGTTGATTGTGGGACATGGGTGATGTTCATAGTGGATTTTGACCTGCACAGGATGTGGAGGTGAGTCAGGCAAATTTTCATCAGGAAAATGAGGAGGCAAACCATGCATATTTTTGTCAGGAAAACAAGGAGGTGAATCAGGCATATTTTTGTCAGGAAAATGAGGAGGTGAATTGGGCATATTTTTGTCAGGAAAATGATGAGGCAAGGAAGGCATATTTTCATCAGGAAAATGAGAAGGCAAAGCAGGTCTATTTCCATCAGGCAGGTGGAGATTCTGAAATGGTAGAAGTTACATTGTACAATCAGTAAGTTGATGATAAAACATACCTCAAGTTCTGTATTGTTTTCTGGATGCACTTGGGCATTTTTGGCACACTTGCACCATCCTATGAAATGGTTAGGGTCCTTGTTTTCCTTGGCTGGTTTGGCTAGTCCATGGTGCACCTCAGCCCTATGAACATTGGAGGGCACAGAATCATCAAAAGCCTGTGGTGAGTCTGGTGCACCTGGGGCAGCTGGTATATTGGAAATGCACTCTCCCAAGAGTCTTGCCAAACATATACATTGCCTTTCTTCATTTTTTGGTGCTTCATTGAGATGTTGTAGCCACGTAGTATGGGTGGACACCTTGTGCAAGTGCCCGAAGCTGTATTTCATGCAGACACAATTGTATTCATCCACAGTGAATATGACAGTTGGTGGAAAGTTGTGGAGGACAAGGCAAAGAAAAGCTTCACATGCATGTGAAGTAAAGCTAGTAAAGCATTGCTTTGCATTTTCACTATTGACCATTGCATCAATGCAGACTTCACATTGCAAAAAAGTTGCATTATCAGACCGAGTAACAAAAACTAAGAATGGGTAATAGTCCTAAATAGGAAATTCATAACGCAGCATTTCTGGCTACGCCTGGACATGTCGAGTTTTCACTGGGCTTCAATCTGAACGGAAAGACGAAAAACCAGGATGGAAGATGTCGACGAAGACCCTTCACTAAACGGGTATTATCTGAGTCAATTATATAATACTTTCCAATAATGGAAGCCTCAGCGCCATGAGTGGAGTGGTCCGTGTGAGGGACCGGCCCTAAAGACGATAACCAAATACTATATAAACTTGGTTCCCGCCTCTCGCCTTCTCTTGGGAAACCCCAACGGTGTGGCTGACGGTGCGTGTTCAGACCGTTGGATTGGCCGACGCCAATTACTCAGTTTCTGTTATATCAGAGCCTGCCGTTGTACAGTAACGGATTCATCGTGTTCCCGGGAAGGTGAGTATACTTAACTTAAGCTCAGTCGACGCTGTTTCACATCGGATGTCACTTCCAGCGCGATGCGATTTATCAGTTGTGGTATGCCGATGGCCACCGGGTAAGTGCCCAGAAGTACGTACACTTTGTCACTTGGTTTGACCCTTCAACTTAGTCCTCATATTCAGGAGGCTGGTGGTGGGTCATGGTATGACCGATCAGATATTCAGACGTGATGCGGATTAGGATCCGGCATCAGATTAGGTGAGTTTTGATGCTCTACTTCTGCGGTCATTTGCTTACATCCTCGTAGGTTCTCCGGCGTTGACGTGCAATCGCTACGGGTGCAAGACGGCAACCCATGAAGCAGCGGATTGTGAGGCGTTTGGATTTATGCAAATCAATTACCCCAAAGCGAATGTGGTGTGTCCCACCACTGGCGACCGTTCGTCGGTAGCGAGTGGCTGTAGGTGACTATCCCTTGTTCATAATCTGCGGGGTGACAGTGGTTGCGGATGTCCCATCTAGTATGTCATGGCAAGAGATGCAGGTAGCCTTGACTACAAATTGTCATGGCAACCGCGCTCTTCACTGAACTGCGCATGTCGTTGATGACTATAACAAATTCGGCTGACCACCTTATGGGTTGGATGGCCAAAATGCCTCCTCGAGGCTGAGGAGAATGTGCGTATCGTTGTCTATTTCGGCGCTGTTGGAGGGTACTTATGTCGTGGGTGCTTTAGACTGGAGTGCTAGCGCTGCAGGTTGAAGAACTTCGGAGTGAAACCTCATTGAACAGGCAAGGTACCATCGTCAATAGGTGGTATTCACGGCGATGTCCTGACCAAGAGAGCGACTGGTAGTTAGGGAGCAATCCCAATTTATCACAAATCAATTACCCCAGGCCACTACAAGTCTTGGAGGGCTAGTACTAGTCTTCTGAGCCTACACGTCCTTTGTCAAGTGGTGATATGTAGCAATACAGTTTGTTCTGCTATGACCGGTGTGAGTGAGGTACAATGATTGTTGGGGGTGTGACAGGTATTGCGCATGTATTTCATCAAGTATGATAACAATGACCCACTCGTACTACCACTTCCATTTATTGGGTTTAAATTTGCTCACACGAGACTTATCGACTGGGTGCGACCGCTGCTACGAGGCCTTTACCTCTGCGGCGAAGCTCTTAGCCACCGGTGGCTTTGCCCACGCGTCATCAGCGTCGTCACATCGCCTGTCCTTGCTGCTCCGCCCCCTGCGGGCAGAGTTTCCCGTAGCTACCTTTTCTTACTCTCCTGACCTGTCTCTCGTCTGTCCCACAAGCTTAGCACAGTCTTCCGTCATCCGGCCCACCCACCTCTCTTTTCTCTGTGTTCGTCTCGCGTTTCTGTGTTTCAGGTGTTTGATCATAGCCCTGATGGAACAAAGGATATTGCGGCTCCGGGTAGATGTAGAATACAAATGTGTACATTACAAACTTATAAAGCTATGCCTTGACATGGTCATTAGCTGCACGCAATAACGGTGACAAGCCTTGCAACCCACCAGGTAGTTATATGATTTCCGATCGTCACAGCGCTCCAGGTATTCTCGCTGGAAGGCAAAAAAAAAAGTAAGCTGCAACAACATGCGTGTCGATGTGTATGGCATGACTCACGTCTATCAAATTCTCAATACACTTCTTGATGCCTTGCGGATTCGGCTGGAAACGAGAGGCAAGCTGCCTCGTAACCTCAAATACCAAATCGTTATGCGTCATGTGTTTCCGATCCTTCATCACGCGAACGAGGCACGCCTTATGCAAAGGTTAGTCAGGGAGTCACAGGAAATGGACGCTAAAGAGTCAGGCGAACCTCAATTTGGTAGTGTCGCTCTTCATCGATGCGTTCTCTCGTTTCTTTCCGCTCTTCTATCGTTTCAACATTGGCAGATACCGTGCTAACTTTGATCTTTTGCATGGCGCAAGTAAAGGCGTTGTTGAAAGAGAAGGAATCCGACGATTGTACGTCCCGACCAGGCGGGTGTTTTTTCAAGATTTTGTATTTGGCACAGGCGAGCGACTGTAGATGCCGTTTGAGTTCGGGAGACGGTATCGAGGTCGCCAATTGTATTTCCTGCATACAATAGTGTTCATCGGGCTACCGAAAGTCGGAGAACCATTCATTACCTCGTACGTCAAGAAATCATTCTCGCCGAGGTTCTCAAACAGAAGTAGTATTACCAACCCGAACGTCGATACGTTCAAGTCATGTTTCCGAGCTTTAAACTGGACGCGAACGTCAGCGTTGCCAAGGGATGGTTGCCACTTTAGTCTTCGACCTGAGTGGCGAGATAGATAAAACTGCTCGAAGGACTTGCATGCCTTCGTCAATATTTCGGGAAGCACGCATGTGGCTCCAGAATGCGTCATTGGCCAAAACGTCGAGGTCATCACCGTTACGGAAATTTCAATCGCAGGCGCCTAGCCAAGCATGAGGATACAGCCGAGGAGTAATTAAAAAGTTCGACATACTGTGGTGTTTTCTAGGTGCTTTCGGTATGCCTGCATGGTGTCTGATGATATCTTCATATCTTGGAACATGCCTTCCAACTTTTGGGTGAATTGGTATCCGCACTCAATCTTCAGTTTAGCAAGCATGCCTCGCTCCGCATCATCGGAAACAGATCTGCCGTACAGAAGGCGTTTTGCCAAATGGTTCTTGTAGTAGCGTTCGAACGCATCTTTCTCAATGAGGTACCTGAAGACGGTGATGGTCTTGTCCAATACTATGTCGACCTCGACATCCGTTTTCTGTCGCAGCGAGGTTGACGTATGAAAAGCGGCTAAGAAGCATTCGAACTTACACCTTTGAGACCCTTCTTAAGGTTTTCATCGATAAACAAGGAAATGTACTCTGGAGCCTTGTCGTTCAGATTGATGAAATCTTCGAAAGCCTATGTTTCAATCGGATCAGTAAAGTCAAATACAGTCGGATTGCGCATTACCTCATGCAGAGCACTCTCAATTTCCCGGTTAGAAAGGAAAGCTTCTTTCCTCAACTTGTCAAACTTGTCCTTGAGATCCAATACGTCTTGTACCCATTTCAATGCAAGTATCAGAGTTTGGGGCGGGCCACCAGCACGGCCCTTGGCTTTTCCATTGGCTTTTCCGGTTTCTGCTTCTGCCTCGGCCTCGGCGGTCTCGCCACCTTCTGTACACGCAGACGCCTGATTGATTTCCTTGCCTCTGCGTAGCACAGAGGCCTTGAGTGCACGCCTGAGTGTGGGGAGGCCAGGAAGAACCATGTCGAATAATCTGTAGAGACGATTGAGATCTTCGATTCTATCCAGGTCAATCATGGGATCAAGACCGGAGTTAGGCATTTCGACCACGGTCGACAAGTTATCGATAAGAAGATGCTCTTCCAATATTTTCCGGAGCGGGGTCCCAGTTTGAGAATGAAGATAATGGTCGGTCCTTGACTTTTCAGCCTGGAAGCGAACCTCAACCTACGGGGTTGGAAATCAAGACATTGATCGAAGCGAACGCATGCATATATGACTGACTCTCCGTAAGAATTCCGGTGCATCACAAGTAGCGAGCAGTCGCTCCGCCTCTGCCTTGTAGAATTTCTCGCTCGCCAGGAGAACAGCTGGCTCCACATCTCTTTTGTACACCGTCTCATTCTCTTGTTGTCCAGAGTGGAGTTGAAGGAATACGTCGACACATTCCTTAACGGCAGACCGACTGATGACGTAGCCGTCCCTCTCAATCTGAATCAAAGTGACAATCGCGGATAAAATGTGGTCTTGTATCGGAGGGCGAATAATATGCTTTAGGAATATGTCCAATCCTGCATCCCATATCTCAGGAACATTGTTCGCCTTCGTGTATGCGCGGTCCTTTCCAAAGCGTAAGCATAGTGACGACAAATGTTTAACTCGCGAAACGGTTACCATATACTTGAGGAGATCACGAAGCTTGGACATATTTCCAGTATGGTCATCCCAAACGCGCCTCAAAGACTTGAGTAACAACTCATTCTCCTGCCCTTGTTGTACAGGATCGTTACTCGTCCCTTTCGGAAAGGAAGGAGTGATATCCTCCTCGGCCAGCCTGTCCACATTCTCGGCTACTAGATCGCGCACGCCATTGTAGAGCATGGATCCGCTCTTATACATGACCATGTTATACGCATATCGATAATTCTCTTCGAAGGAGAGGGAGGACGCATTGTGCATATGTATTTCGCGAATGTTCTTGGACAGCCGGTTCCATGTGTCCTCTGGCAAAAATTCGTCGTGCTGTATACATTCAACCTTGTGTTACGAGTTAATATATGTGGCATCCGTACCTTGCGGGCTGGTTTCTGTGGGCGTGTGCAGGCGGCGTGGCGCAGTTAGGAAGTGCATATCCAGGATATGTAGTGAACGTACAATCTTCGGCTTCGGAGGGCGACGGTCTACGTATATGGTTAGATGGTCGATACTACACGATGCTCACTTTACCCACTAGCTGCCATACTTTGGGACACCCCTAGTTCGTTGTTCCAATCATCTCTTGATTCACAGAGCTTCTGTTTGCGCTTGTTAGGATCCAAAGCCTTTGACAAGCAACAAACCGGATGAGGTAATACTATAAAGCACCAGCAGGTTTCTGGCATTAAAGTAGTAATAAACCCGGAGTGCACGCATATCGGGTACCGGGGACGCTACGAGGGCTGAGATCTAGATACTCTCACAAACTCGGTGAAATATTTTCTAAATCCCTTGTTATCCAGATCCCTTAGTTTCGACGCAAACTCCATTGCGGTCTGCTGAGGCCAGCCTTGCGATGGGAGAAACACAGAGACGAAAAATTCATGCGCCTCTGATTTCCGTGCGTTATACACAACCTGGAGGAAATTGGCGATTTCCAGCATAACCTTGTATCAACGAAGCATGCTTGTTTCAGACCAGGTCTCTCCGTATTAGCTGAGTGATCGGGGCTCACCATCAACATCTGCCCATCTTTCGGATTGAATTGAGGAGAAGACAACACCGCAAAAGCAGTCGGAACTAGTCGCTCGTACACGAAGCGTTCGAAGCCCGCTAGACCTTGTTGGGCATCCACACGAGGTGGGTCTGGCCTGCACCAGACCTGTACAGCGCGGCCAAAGAACGCGAAAGTAGCCTTCTGGCTGGGTGGATCCGACGTGTCCTGAGCTAATCGGCACATGTTTTCGAGCAAAGGCTCCAATGAATTTTTATTGCCTATTATCTCAGTGAAATTAGATCATCGCGACGATTCATGAACTGCAAGTTGCCAAACTCACGTTCGGAGATGAAGACGCCGTGGACCTCGGAAGATATGATGCTCGTGAGAAGTCCAAGATATGAGCGCTTAGTCTCTGCATGCGTCAAGCCGTCATCTGTGCCGGTGACGGGCTGAGATAGCAGGTCCGTGATATGTGCGTTGAGCGGGCCAAGAAGCTCGTCTAGCACATCAAACAAATCCTTCTACAGAACCCACCCCTATTAGGAAAAAAAAATCCACTTCAAACGGTAAGAGAAACGTACTTGCAACCTATGAATGAGAAGCCCGATGAAGTTCATGAAGTCAACAAGCTCCGACGGTTCGAAGTGAGCCAAGAGGTTGGCCATGAGTGGGGGAATGAGATCCGTCACATTAGAACCTGTAGTTGCAATAATGCGCGCGAAGGCGTATCTCGCCTTGACTGCTGTCAGAACTTTACATAACGTAAAAAAGATTTAGGAGCTTACGGCGTCGCGCACGCATTTGAAGACGTTCATCGCTTCCAATGCCACAAGGACCGCACGAGAAACTTGTCGGAAGACCTCTAGAGGGGCAAAAGAGTATCCTTCCGGTACCGGAGAAGGATAATCAGGGAAACCCTTGGCAATATTACCAAGGGCCATGATGGCATGGTGAATCTGCACAATGGGTATTACGTCTTCCTTGCTCTTGACCAATGCCAGATTTGTTGACAAAACATCCAGAAGCGGTGTCACGATCGACAGAAGAATGCTAGCTTGTTGTTCTCGCTCCTTCGAGAGAAGTGACACGAGGATGCCCACTGTCTCGAAGATATATAGCTGATGGTCGAATAGCCCAGGATTCTTTATGGCTTCTGTGAGCAAGTCGTCTTCTGGGCTGTCCGGTGTTGGAAGATCGACTTGAATGACAAGTAAATCCCGGATGCCTTCTATTAAACTGATTGCAAGCTCCGACGAGACATCGTTCCTGCCCTCCCTGATAAAACGGTGGAAAAGGTAATATGTCCGTCTTCGAACAGAAACATCAGAGCTGTGAAGACCCCTAAACTGAATTCAGCAACCGTGATGCACACCGGAAATTGCAATACTATCGCTTACCGTGCATCAACCATAGCCTCTAGAGTTGGCACAATGCAATCCTTCCGTATCTTGAAAAAGTCGCTGTACCGTGCAACGGTCTCAAAGAATTGCATGACCACGGCACGATGAGGATATGCCGAGATCTGGGACTGGACAAGGGCCAAGAGTATTTCTCCATGAGGGGTGAGAGGGTATTCCGAATAATCGACGTCTTTTCTCTTGTCTTTTGGTACTGAAGGCGCCAAGCAAAAGGCTGCGCGACCCTTGCCTCCGCCTATAAACAGACACGATCAGAATCTCCGTGAGAGTCAACACGCAAAGTACATACTTTTGCTGATTTCTCCGAATATATAAACAAGGTAAACCGCAAGCTCTGCATCGTGCCATTCGACAGGAACTCCATTGCGATAGGTAGAGAGCGTAGTGAGGACTAGAGTTCGTATTGCCTGCGTAACGAGGTCCGGTTCTATGGTCAAAACCGAGTCCATGAACGACCGGAGATCCTAGCTAGAACATGAGCAAAGTCTGAAGAAAATTAGTACACAGCTTACCTTTCGGAGGATTTCGAATGCTTCTACATCATCCAAATCCATGTCAGCTGGGTCGTTGTCCTTGTCCCACCGCATCTTCTGTAAAACGACATTGAGTAAAGAAGTGAGAAACGATCGCGTTGATTCATCCAGTGGGCCAGGGGACACTTTTTTGTTCCTCTTATACTGAGCGAGGTCAACGTAAGCTTGTAGGAGATGGAAGGATGGTACGTACGCTGCCAAGGACGGCCTGGAGGAGTGGAAATATAGTACAACAAGTATCATCGTATTCATCAGCCATGAATCTTAGCATGATCGGCAGGACCCGGCCGAGGAACTGTTTTGCTTCAGCAACGACTTGGGGCTTAGCGCATTCCTAGCACGTAGTTGCATCAGCGCGCGTAGCCCACGAAGGATGAACGGAACGGTCACCTCTACTAATTTTGATAATTCAAGGCCCAAGACATTCAGAAGCTTTCCCAAAGCCTCTCTGTATGACTCTTCCCCTTCGTCTTCATCAGCGCCTCTTTCTATTTGTTGTGCTCGCGTCTTGGCTTCAAGAGCGTCGACCACCTGATCCAACGATAGCACTTTTATCAACTGCAACTTGTCTTCAGGCTCCTTCAATCCCTTTGAAACAATGCGGAGCAGCGCTGCCGAAGTAGCCAGTCTAATAGCTAGTGACGGGTCGGCAAGCAAAGAGAAGAGTAGTGGGACCGTAGTAGGAGTCACTGTCAAATTGATGTCGATCCAACCTGCGGGTAAACGGTGTCACACGATGAGCGTTCAAAGGGTCGAAATACTCACCAGCGTAAGAAGCAAATGTCCTGACGCCCCAATCCGCGACCTCCACGGCCTCATCCAAGGCTGCTGATTTTGCACCTGATTTCCGCAACACTGCCATCCTCTCAGCTGCGTCGGCGACGATAGTCAGAACTGCCTCGTTAATCAAGGCAGCGTCACGTTCTCGCACGGCGTCCCTTACGCGGCCATCCCTTGCGTGCCGCACAGGATTGAACGTTCGAGCGGCTTTGAGAGTTTGGTCGGCAACTTCGCCAGATATTTCGACGACAAGATGGAATAACAGAAGGGATACGTGGCGGTTGAATTTTGCTTCAGACGAATCCCCATTGCGAATGAGCTGGAATAGGTCGGTGAAGAATGTTGGCCATTGCTCGACATACGTGCAGAGGAAGAATAATGTTAATGTGTGGGAGAATTTGTTGCGGAGGACTGCAGTTTGAGGAGATGTAATCGAGTATGAGAATGAGCTGTACGCCACGTACATGATGCGTTGGACTCGGCAGGACCGTAAACGTACTCTGATTGTATATAGGACAGGATGGACTCATGCAGTGAGCGGAAGGTGTCGTCGTCCAGTCGATCAAACCTGCGAGGCGCGTAAGAATCAAATGCTTGTCGTCGTAATAACTCCAACCGAAGAAGAAATCAATCATTCCTGACAGATGAAGGGTGTGATGTGTAGGACTCCTCATGGAAGACCACCAAGCACAAGAACGGCACGCTCACCGATTATCAAAAAATTCGTCTAGCACACGCAGAGCAGTAAATCTTGCTTGGGGATGATATTTTCGACCCTGCCCACTTGGATCTATGTCCACAAAGACCTTGAGAGCAAGACGCCACGACTCGTGTGCGTTTTGTTGAACATGAGAGAGATACTCTAGGGCTTGTTGATGGAGCGCCACTTGAGATGGATCGCAGGCAATGAGTATGGCCTGTATAAATCTGTCGACCTCTTGCTCCATCGAAACGGCACGCAGGCGTGGACGGCTGGCGGAAGACCCAGGCCAGAAATGATCGCGTGGTCACTTTGTATCCGACTTGTACGAAACGTTGATTAAGAACGACCGAGTACCGATCCTTGAGTAGGTTCTTAGTCGATAACTAAGTCCAGCTGGTCTTGGGATGTGAAGTTGATTTAGATCGCGATCGGACAGGCTAGTGGTCTCTTGTCCGAGTCGGACTCACGTGCTATGCGATTGGGCAGTTTGGACTCAACGACAGGGGCTAATCTTATATTCGTACTACCAGCACGGTTTACCGGACGCTAGGCGTAAAATGGACGGTCGTACTATCACAGTTCAAGTAACTGACAACCATATGAAGGTGTTATATGGTGTGGGTCCTGGCAAAGTGCGAAACACGGAGTCCCGCAGAAGGCGGAAGCTGTACTACTAATGACGAATTGCCACAAATATCATCGTCGCCAGGCGAGGATGACGAGGTGATATGTCAGGTCTCGGAACCGTCCCGGTTAGCATTGTGTACAACGGAGTACTTCAAGAGTACTTGGGTCGCTTCTGACCGTGAGTCAGTCTGTACAGTATCGGATCCTAGTCATACTCACCTTTCCAAATGGGTAACGATTGGCTAGGACCCGCAAGGCGTGTATAACACGACAGGGCTACGTGTTCGTGGTGCCATGATTCCGCAGCCCCAGAACGCACCAGTCAACACACGGCAGCCTGCAGAGACGAACACGATGGTGCCACCTCGCAGTGATATACGTCAAAGGTGTCCAGCTAAGACATGCCTGTGCTGGTGTAGGCTTCTGTCACCGACTCGGAGTCACTACTAGTGCTAGTCTACCCGTGTGGTTTATTATGTAGTACTTGGCTGCACAGGGGCGTGGGAAACGTCGACCCCATCTACATAAAGCCCCTCCACCCCTTTCATCCGAACAACCATCATGTACCCTCGCGAGGCCCCTTCAGTAAGCCCCTCAGGCATGCTGGACCCAACAGCAGACCATCCCGTACTCTCAGAACCAGACACCCTTTCTGATTCAGATTGGCTTGACATCTCAGGCACTGACAGGGAGTCGGACGATAACGACTCCGTCTTCTCCTCTAATAGAGACACTGATCATGAACATCTTTCTCCCTTAAGGTCAAGGCGGTCTTCCGTGAGCTATGGCAGCTCTCGGGAAGGTGATGTCGATGTGTGGGAAGGAATGATCGAAGATAGCGCCGACGAGGGGTTACCGGACCTTGTCCCAGTACCGCCTCCGGCCTCCCTCTCCGGTGAAGAATTGCACCCCGCCATCCACGCCCAGGATGAGACGTTGCTCGAAGAGCAGCGAATAAACGACGGCCTTGACCAGAGCATGGTCAGCACGTTGAGCTCCTCACGATCGAGCTCCCTCCCCGCATCCACCCTCCACAACTCTGCGCGTGACCTCCGCCTCTCCTTCCCGGATCCAATCACAAGTTCGCGAGAGGAACTCAGGGAATCGTCCTACGAGGATATCGGAAGCTGTCCGGAAGCTACCCAACCCTCTGATGTCATTTCGGTTCCTCAGCAGGCTGAGGAGGAGGAAACACAAGCAACACCGGAGGTGGCTCCAATACAGAACTCGGTTTCATCGACTGACACGCTGCCTGCATCTGACTTTAACATATCCCTTTATGGCTTTCCCACACCCTCTAGGTGGTCCATAGTCACATCTTTGCTGGAGAAAGTCGCGGAAGGGGCCGATGTCACGATCACGGCTTCTAGGGAGGATGGCTCTGTACGCCAATTCGCCGCCTCCAGCCATTCACATAAACTCTTCCCTCACATCATCACCGTCACCGACAAGATCGATCACAACTATCCAGCAGAGGGTGTAGGTTGTTTCTGTTTTTCTCGTGCGGAATTAATTGCAACGCTCCACAGCCATCTTCTAAGCCGCTTCCTTCATTGGCAATTGTTTATATGCCCTCCTGCCCTCCACGTCTCCCCGAGCCCACTTTTTATCTACCCGTCGTAGCAGCTCCTCATTATGATGACGAGTTAATTATCCCGTACAGCTTCTCGCGGGAACTATGGAATGCCTCTGACATTCCTGAACGCCGGGCCTTGCGCTTGACATCAGGCGCTTCTGCCGTTATCGATGAACGTGACATCGATAGCTTGGATCCAACTGCAGCGTACCGTGCGTTCCACCACGTTTGGTCCGGCAACAAGAAAGCTGTTGGCAGGGCGTCTATCAATGACCTTCGTTGCCTGGCAATGTGCATTTGTTCTGACTCCTCCTTTTCCACTTTCTTACGCCTTGTCGTTTTAGTATGTCCATCTTTTCTGCCATCATTTCTCTCGTATTTGGCATCATGGCCCCTTCGGCAGTCTCTCGCATGACTTCCATTATCCCTACATCTGGTGCCACTCCTGGTAGTTGCACCTCGGCTTCTATATTGCAGCTCCTCCTACCCGCTGCTGAGCGCCCAAGGGAAATTGTACCTCCCGCCATAGAGTCCTCAACAACTGCGTCGATTCATGACTTTGCGCTTTCCGTCTTCCGCGCTGAGTTGACATCAGTTTCGATTCCTAGTACACACACACCGGGTATTCGTCGCATTCACGATCGCTTGACAAAGGATCTCGTATTGCGACCCACTGTGTCCGTTCTTGTTCCCGAAACTCAGCAGAAGCCAGTCTCCGCGGTACCAAGCGCTACGACCGGACAACATGGTGGTCCCGCTTCTACCACGGCCAGCTTATCTTCCTTGACCCTCAGTTCCGCCCCTGACATCATAAACGAATACGTACCGATCATCACTGCCGCCATTACAAATGACATCCAAATCATTCTCGACGCGCTTGACGGATTGGTTCAGGCCATCTCCAAACAAGTTCACACATTGGTTTCGGAAACGGCCCTCCTTGTACAGCGATCTGCATCCTCTGTAGAAAAGAGCGCGCAGAGATTGGAAAATGTCAGGGATGCGCTTTACGCCAGCAATGCCCGGGCAAGGAAGCGAGCCAAACAACTGAAGGACCGTGGTGCGAAGTGGCTGTTTGAGGCTACAGAAGCTGTTGCGAGTCGCGTTCAGTCGTCGAAGAGAAAGGACAAGGTTTTAGACGAGGTGAAAGGTTTTATGGAGGAGATGACTGGTCGAGTTGAACGTGCGAGGAGTAATGCAAAGAAGGTAGCTGAAAATCTTCAACAGGCGATGCTTGAGAACGAGAAAATGGCATCTCGAGCGTGGGATATAGGCGAAGAGCATTGGAAGCAATGGCACATGCGGTCCCACAAGACGTGCAGGAAGGATCGGTCTCGGAAGGCGGGTGTCTGATGTTGATTGAACCGTCTAGATGTCTATGGATGTCTCCACTCATTGTTGTTGTATGTTCTATGGGTTGTATGTAACATGTTGTGGTCCTTGGTAAGTTGTCAGTGTTGTATGTACCTGATGTAGGGTGAATGTATGTGTTGTCATGTTTCTGGCTGCGATCTTCACGTGATTTGGATAGATAATGCCAGCTGTGACGCTAAGACTTGGAAAGGGTTGTAAGCCAGTCGAGGCACGTCGTCCTAATCATTAGTTCCAGCTGTATTCCTCGCCGCCAGTCTGTAAGACCTGCACCGGAACCATCCAACAATGCAGAACCATCGTGGACATCCTTCTGTCACGATCCCGCAACGGTCGCGGTCACCGGCGTACCATCCCCCCGAAGTCTACTCACCCTACCCCTTCGAAGCGGGCTCGCTGTCTTCCGATAACATACTCAGCGCATGGGACGCGACACCGACTGCAAGACGCCCCTCAGCAACTCTCGAAGTCCCGGATAGACCGCTCAGCCGCGCACGCAGCACGTTTACATCGTCAACCGGCTCATCCTCCCAGCCTGAAATACACCGATCTACCTCTCAGAGGTTGAGTGTCCAACCTAACAGACATCGATTAAGCAAGTCGGAAACCGTTCTCACTGGAAGGTCGCCGGAGGACGATTATGTGGCTCGCTCGTATACTCCTGCGACAGCAGTTCCGTCTTTCGAACTTAGTCCCGCTCGGAGCACGGAGGACTCGGTGAGATCTTAATCTTTGTTTCACGATAATCCGTACCTGTTTCGACGCGTGTCGTATGTAGCCTGACTCCAAAGTCAACAAACTTACACGAGAATTATCAAACATGACGTATGTGATTCATTTTCGCATGTTGTGGGGTTCATTTTTGATCGTGTTCTTGGCAGTCTCCAATCCGAAGAGGGTTTAAAGCGTTTTCAAAATGGCTCTTTAGATGAAAAAGATGAAGCGTGGCACTCTCTCGTCCCGCCCGAGGCGCGTGATGCCCTTGGAAAACGCGAGGTGGAGCGCCAATGCGTTTTGTTTGAGGTTTTCAAGTCAGAGCGGGACTACGTGTACGACCTGCACGTCATTCGGGATGTAAGGCAGTAGTCCTCTGTGTCTGAATGGATATGAGAGCTAAGTTGATTTTACGCAGGTTTTCGTCGAACCCTTGAGATCTGCTTCACCGCCCGTTATATCGCCTAGTGAACGCCTTCAAACCTTTCTCTCCACGGTTTTTTGGAACTTAGAACAAATCATAAACCACCATAACCGACTCGTGGAAGCTCTGTTCGCTCGACAACGAGAGCAGCATCCATTGGTACAGAGTGTGTACGACATTATCCTTAAATGTAGGTCAGCAGACACTACGTCCAGCCCCACTTCTTAAGACTTCTCAGCCTTCTTCCAGTTTAGGCTCGACTACGAGTCTTATATCGAGCACTACCCGCTGGCAGAACAACGGCACCGCACAGAACTTAATCACAACAAGGCTTACCAAAACTTCATGCAGTGCTGCTCTAGGGATCCTCGTACCAAGAAACGCGATTTAGTCACATTCTTATCGCGACCAGTCACTCGCCTTCCTCGGCTCAATCTAATTCTCGAACACCTACAGAAGCAGACTGAATCCGATCACCCGGACGCCAAAGATCTGCCTGTCGTTCTAGGCGTCCTCAATGACTTCTTGAAGAGCACGCAGCCTGGCATTGCAGCAGCAGAGAGCATGGTCAAATTCTGGAACTTGTGTGACAGCCTCGCGTTTAACAAGGGGGAAATCATAGTAAAGTCGTCTGGTTGGTGTGCTGCAGCGTACTCAAGTCGCTTCAGGAGTTGGCTTTGCACAATGATGCGCGTTGCCTGGTTCATGCCGGCACTCTGGCACGACGATCAAAGTCGGACATGGACTGGAACCCGTGGTACGACCTCCACGTCGCATTACTGGATAACTTCCGTGAGCCCATTTGGCTTATGTTTGTCGTTTGATGCTGACTATGAAGCAGTCCTGATAACAAAAGAAGAGAGATTGTCTGGTGACGCTATCAGACGTCTGGTCGTTTCAAGGGTGAGTATTCGTCCTGCCTAGTAGAGGGATTATTTTCGCACTCAACCTCTGCAAGCCTATCCCTTTGGCGTACCTCCGGCTTGGCAGTTTTGACGGTCCCCCGGAGAACAGGAAGGAGAGACCCGAGGAAGGGAGCTTCCTACGAGTTTCATATAGACCAATGTATCCATTCACGGTGTATCACGCGTTTGAAAAAGCTACCCGTAGGTACACACTGTATGCATCAACAGAAGCAGCGCGGACAAAGTGGCATGAGGCCCTGGTCAACACGAAGGCAGTAGAAGATGCAAGGCGAGAGGGAAACCAAGTAACTATATTGCATAATTGGCAGCATGTGCTTCTGGGGCTGATTGTTACGTTTCAGTTTTTCGTATCCCAGGTCGTAGATGACGGCACTTTCCGCGTACCTGGCCCTCGAAGTGGACGTTCCAGGAAACCTCCTTCTGGAAGAGTCGTTCATGCGGTCCCCTTTAGTATGTGCCATACCGTTTATATCACACTCGCACATTCGGAATTGAATTGAACGAACCTGCAGTCGCCAGTGGGGGGAAGAAATTCATGGCAATTTGTTGTGCATCCGGCATATTCATTGGCCGTCGAGGTGAAAGTGTGCATCGCCGGATTCGACGTGGCACTTCCTCGAGTCTTATCTCAAATTTTCAGCGTTCCGTAAAATTCTCTCTTACGAAGACGCGAAGCGCATCATCGTTTTGCAAGACTTCAACAAGGTTTTGATCCATCATGGCGGTTATCTACTTTCGTACTCTCTCGAAGTGCTTGCCCGGGTGGTTCAATACCAGTCACCTGCCAGTGCTCTAGATGCATCCCTTGAAACCATTGCAGGGCAAGAGGGAGCCGTTGTCTGCTGTGAGGCCGGAAAAGTAAAAGACCGCACTATTGGTACTGCTTTCGACTTTTGATACCGACTTGGTTAAGACTGAATCACTGCAGTGGTCTTTGCTGTCAAAGGGTTCCTACATACCAATGTCTATTCCGTTGAGGTTCACCGTCCCAATGATCTAGGGATAAGATCTCAGTGGACTCTACAACTCCCTACGCTGTCTTTCCGTCCCTATGGCGAGGTGATGCTTTTGTTGAATCCAAGAAAAATGAAATTGACTCCATTTATTGCATTGCAGGGCTTCTACATTCCGCAAGACGCTTACTCGATCACGACTTTGACCAAGACGATCGCCGTTGCTACGGACCGCGGAATTGTGATTGCTGATCCACAGAAGTGAGCAACATCATAAATGTGACCGATCTCCTACCGCATTTATCCCGTTTCATGTATAGCGCCGGAAGAACGATCATCTCCATAGTTCCGGACTTTTCGGGTGCCCCTTCGAATTCAGCCACGGATGACTTGAAGGCTCGTTGCGAAGCCGCCCGCCCGCTTGGACTCGTGCCTTGTGACGCATCAGAGTTGATGGTAATCTATGACAGTGAGTGTTTGGCCCACGTCGTAAGTTGCTCTGTGGTGAAATCATGTTTTACCTAGCTATGGGTTGTTACATTACGAAGCACGGGCAACCGTCCCGAAATTCCAGTTTTGTGCGTTGGGAGATCAAAGCGGATTCGTTCTTGCACCGCGCACCTCACGTCTTGCTGTTCTGCTCCGAGTTCATTGAAGTTCGCAACGTGCAATCAGGGAGACTTGACCAGGTCATCGAGGGTGCGGACATTCGACTGCTATACGCCCCAAGCGTGCGCTCGGTTTCCCCTCTGGTTGCGTGGCGTGGAGGGAAAGATGACGAAGATGGTTTGAGTGAGCAGATCGTAGAGCTTATCGATACAGAGGAAATTACACCCGTGACACCGGCTTCAGGGGCTTTCGCAAATCTAGACGTTTGGGACGAATGGGAAATGTAGTGTAGTAGGAATGATATGATACACTTGCTTTTGAGTACAGGCGCAACGCTCTACATATTTTAAGCACACGGGGGTATAGGGAAGATTGGATGGTATGTTGTGTTGGCTGGGTGTTAAAGTGTAGCGCGAGCTATATTGATGGTCATACTTCGGGGTTCGCTTTACAACTCGTACACCCACAACCCTCCGAATGTGCAGTGGCAGGTTTGTTCTGTATCCACCATATACGTTGAACGCCGCCTGCGAAAGGAGGGAGGATGCAAAGTACGAGCATCATTACTATGACACCTGGTGACCGCACTGCAAGCACTAGCTCCACGGTGGCCATAATAATGATGCCAATGAAAGGGACGGTATGAAGGCAGGCACATTTAAAGATAGGAATACCCTGTACGCAAACCCAGTTAAAATTTACAAACTCGTGATGGCGCAAGCCGGAAAGCGAGGGAAGGGCACAATTTACCTGAAAGTACCCCACGCAAGTGAGGGTATACAAGCTGACCGTGTACAAGAGGAGACCAAGGGCAACGGCTCGCAATACATTGGATGATGAAAAACTGGAAGTGTAACGGTCAGCTCATCCGATTAGCATGCGGCGATGAGGGATAGTTGTAAGTGGCTGACGTGAGGAATGCAACGAGCTAGTTCTTATGAGACAACCGGTTATATCCTGCATGCGACAGTGGGACTTACAACGCTTAAAGCCGTCTTGCTCTGCTCGCGCAGCTCTTGTGTAAGCTCTGGGGTTAAAGGTTCACGATTTACCTTGAACATCATGACTTGGTACTGCAGCGATGGGCACGAGACGCATCCAGCATACTCAGCTAATAAACCACTCCGCTGCGCGTCTGCGATTGGATGCTGACATCAGCGTAAGTTACATTTCTCCTGGAACGTGCTGTGCTTGACGATGCAACACCGTCGCCTAGGTGCCCTTCCGAGTTCGATTCCGCGGGACTTTCCTGAGATTGTGGAGCGTGTTGGTAGCGGAATTATTCGAGCGGACAACCCAAAAAGCCTTCTGCTGTGGAGTCCAGACGCATAGGTGCATACAGCATGGCATGACGAAAGTAGAAAGCTTAAATCCCCATTTCGGAGTCGAATAGGGAAAAGTACTTGTTTTTGTCCACGAGACGCTGCAGAGAAGTCTAGACCGCCTTCGAAATGGTAAGGCACAAAACCCAATTTCGGTAAGCCAAACTGAAAACCTAGGTTCATGGGTTATACAGTAAAACACACTGTGCTCGAGCAGGAGAGAATTCCTGTCAGCTTTTAGTAAAATAGTCCTTTCCGAACTCCAGACCGCGGGTCAACGTGAGAGCCACGCCATGGAGTAAAAGTGTTCTAGCCCCAGCCTGGATCTTTTTCTTTTCTGGACTTTGTCGACCACCAGTGACTGAAAGAAGCAAGATGTGGATACGTGCTTTATGACTCTCCCATCACTGATATAGATGCGTTCAACTCCAGAGTCACGTTTCTTGCCAGTTATGTGATTGGTTCCCGCAACAAACTTCTCTAAGAATATGTGCGACGCTGCGTTGTCATTGGGGCTTTGTAGGGCGTGCCTCGCGCGCGGTCGTGAGAAGTTGATTCGGAAATCGAGCCGGAGCACCACAACTGAGCGTCCCGGCACACGATGAACTCCGTAATCCAGCTTGCCCACCGATCTCATTACCACTATGAAGCGAGACGGTTGTAGGTCCCTTGATGGGGATGGGCCGGGGCCTGCCACTGACGCGGCCACTTCCAAAAAAAAAAGCACCAATGCTGTACTCACGCTCTACCATAACTCTCCATTCGTGATCCGGGGAGAGGTGTTCTTGAACTTCGATGACGGCCTAGGGCCCTGGCGGGCTAGCAGTGGAGGCGTGGGTTCAAACAAGCAACTCCACTATGTGCTCATTCCTCGGATGCGTCACCGTGCAGCGTCGTGGAGAAAACATCGGAGCAGGACTCCTAGTTGCACAACAAGTTTGAACTCTCAAATTCAACGCAAATTTTCATTCGGCCCGACCCGACCGGAACTACTAGTTCCGACCCTCCAAGTAGTAGGTCCTATACTGAAAGTACTAGTTGCTGCAGTGGCCCACGACACCCAGAAAATGATTGTAAACGAAAGAGACAACTATCACACTTGGAATTGCAAGCTAATGTGGCTTTCAAACCGCCTATAAAAACTTAACAAGAGATCTAGCAAGATGACTCCTTTGCTCATAATTCGTCCTCTTGGATATCGCTAGGCAACTGACCAACAAAACCCTCGGGAGTCGCAGAATTAGAGGGTTTGCTTATCGCCCGTCGCATCATACTATTCTGCCAGTGAAGTCTGCATTCCCTCAGCACATAACTGGCAGATATGTAATGTACAACATAGGGACGGAAAGGTGCAGGTACAAGGGATGTGACAATAAGAAACCCAGGTCAAACTATTTCGTGTACGCCGACAACTCGATCTTCTTCAACAATCCCTTGAGCGTGTTGCTACTACGGTTGCAATTACTCTGCAACCACGTCTCCATCTCCTTCCTTACAACCGCGAGCTCCTCGCAGATCGGGAGGTCGCCGTCTGGACGCACCCTACACGGGTTCAGTAGTAGGTCGAACAAACGAGTGAGGGTGTCAGTTTGCCAGTATCGTTTGAACGGCGTTGCGATCTTGTATATGGGGTCGGCCTTCGTCGATCCGGGGACCAACGTCACAGACGATGCCTCGATATACTTGCCGAACAACATGCAATAAAAGATTCCAGTTAGCCCGAAGTAATCTGTTTGATACGTCCATGGTCGGTTCTGACGTATCTCGAAGCAGTCGCGTTCGTCCGTTGGCCAATCCGCAATGAACTGTTGATTGTGCCCCGCGGGGAAGAGTGACGTGTCGATCGTGCGGCCAAAATCGATGACTTTTATTCCCCTGTACTTCCAGCCACCTTCACCAGAGGGCTGGTAAATGCTGGACAAGGACGACGCCCCACCAGGAAGCTCTTCAATTCGCAGCAAGCAGTTATCAACCTTGAGGTCACCGTGGATGAACCCAGCACCATGCATTCCTTCCACGAAGCGAAGGAGCTCGATCGTGTAAAAGAACACGAGTAGCTCATCCAGACACCCGCCTTGCTGCGATACACCTGCGGGACCTGCACGGTTGACGATATCCAACAGGGTCCCATGCTGACAGAGTTCGAGAAGGAGATGGGATTCGTCGCGGAACGCATACAGCGCTAGAGGCGAGATAATCGAGCGGGTAAGTTGCTGTGGAAGTGTTCGATGGACCCGCCGAAGTACGTGAAATTCCCAGAGATTACGCGGCCTGACCACTTTGAGAGCGAGCATTATTGCTTCATCCTCTTCGTCCTCATCGAGGTCAAGATCCCTATCATCATCCTCCACCGCTGATTTCGAAATATCTACCGCAGAGAAGACGGCACCGAATCCGCCCTCTCCCAATTTTTCCGTAACTCTGAGCAATCTTCCTTCCAGCGTGACCACTACACCATCCTCTGTACTGGCTCCTTTGCTCCCCCGAGCTTTCTTTGCTGCGAAGCGTTGGAGACCATCCAGCATACCTCCATCTTGTGCCCTTAAGTCGTAGAAGTCACCGTCAGCAGGCAATAGCGAGAGCAACGTTGACACGATTGCAGGGTCAGAGGGGTTGCAAGGATTAGGCGGCCTGAATGCGGAGACAACAGCGAGCGAGTCGGAAAGACTGAGTGTGCCGGTCCGATCTTCGATTGCAGCCAAATTATTGTGACTGGCGACTTGTTCGTGATGGTCGCCTGAGCCTTGTATGCAATCCTCGTATTCCTCATAATCACCCTCCGTTCCGTCATCTTCTTGCACCTCTCTTGCGAGTTTCTCTGCCACCTCAACGGCATACTTGCCACTCTCTCTCCCTTGTCTTTCTCTCCAATCCTTGTCGCGTAGGAAGGTCGTGGTCGTCGGTGTCGGGAGACCTCTCGTGCTAAATTCAAACGTCCGTTCGGTGATAGGCGTCATAACGTTAATCCTCCCAAACCGTCCACCGAGAGGTTCACTATACTCCACTTCCTCCGTGTCGAAACCACCGTCGTCTTTGTAGCTGTCCTGCTGTTCATGATCAGGTACATACGGTTGTTCTGCGCCCTCTTCATCGTCAACTTGACTATCACTGGACGAGGCAAGACCTGCTTCAACCTCTACTTCTCCACCCTCGAACGCATACCCGTCCTCACCCTCGGAGAAGTTGGTGTGGCTGCTGCTACTACTGAAAGCGTGTCCATCCACTTCTGGTTCACGTTCGCCATACCCATCCATTGCACCGTCCCCAAGACTAGACTCATCAGTGAATGTCTCGTCGATCGTGGCCGGAATTACACGAGGTTGCAAAGCGTTGGCTTTCCTGACTGAAGCCGAGGCTCGAAGTACGCTCGGCTGCACTGCATTTTCGTTGTCGATGAAGGGTTTGAATGGGCCTGATGCAGGGGTGGTACCTGAATTTGACCCAGGAGGTTTTGGCGTGAACACGCCCCCTCTTCCGAGACCGCCTGACCCCCCATTCTCTCCCTGATGACCAGGTGGACGGGAAAAAACTTTGAACGGTGTCTTTGAGTCCACAAAGGGTGCGAACGCCTGATGTGCAGGTGTTTGTAAATCTGAAGCCGGCTGGTTCTCGGGTATACATTCTGTTGTGGGCTTCGTACCCGGCGGTCGCACGAGAGGATCTTTCCGGGAGACAGGAGTAAACGGTTTGGAGAAGACGGGTTTCTTCTCGGGCTCCCCTCGATGGGGCTTGAGAAAAGTGGGCTTAGGAGGATCCGGGGGGGATGGTTTCGAGTCAGGCACAAACACAGGAGCCACATCCTCTGTTGTTGGTTCCCTCGAATCTTTAACCGAGAGGGCTCGACGACCTTGAGTTGAATTAGGTATAACGGACGGTTGTTTAGGTTCCTCGATGAAAGGTTTGAACTATGGACATGCGATCCAAAGAAATACCATGGTCATAAAAGAAGTACATATCAATGTCGAATAAATCGGAGGTATATATGCATCAAATACGTACTTTCGGTGGCGCAACCGAGTTTTCTTTCCGAGGAACATTTTCATCGACGTATGGCTTGAAGGCTATTTTTTCGGATGATCACTACGCTGACCTATCATCAAAGGGAGTCGGTTTTACCTTGAGGTTTCGCATTTTCGTTCTCGCTAGGGGGAGGGGCAGGCTCGGCTCTGCGTGTCCCAGGTGCTTCGATTCTCCGTCCACCCAGTGGCTCGATTTTCCGAACAGGTGCATATTTGCTACCGGGCATAGAACGTTTGACAGTTTTATCAGGTGAATTATACATCCCAAACACGTCTGCAAGTGCTTCCTTGGTATTGATTGTCACCGTGGGTTCACCTGCAGCGAGCATGCTAACGCTCTTGCGCCCACCCCCTGAGGCAGTCGCACCCATATTCTGTGTAGACCTAGATCCGTCATCGTTGAAGTTTACCCTTACGGCGCCGGATGATGAATCGCGAAGTTCAGATGCAGGGGGCGGACCCCATTTCTTGCCGAGGAGACCCATGGAACGGGCACGTACCTCGGCTGCAGAGTATTCAACGCCGGAAGGCGTAAATAATAGTGAGAGATTGAAGCGTAGTTTCTCTGGTCGTTTGCCAGGGGCAGGTGGTGCGAGCATGGGTGCATATCGTGCATGAGCTGAGTTCGACGGAGAGGCTGCAGAGGCACCCTGAGCTGTGGACGCGGAGGAATTTTGGGCAGGTTGAGACTTCTTGGCAGTCGAGCTTGTTTGGGGATCGAAATTCTTGAGTGGATTACGGCGCAGGGTATCGACCTCAGCTACCCCGCTCGGTTTGAAGGGCAGTAACTGAGATTTTGATAACGGAGGTCGCGACTGGAAGTCGCGATATCGCCTCTTGAGTCGTTCGAGGGGACGCGCACTACGAGATATCCCGGCGCGGAATGCTTTATCCGCTTCTGCACGTCTGTCGCTTCACGGTCAACATCCATGCCACATCTACACCACACTGCACCACGCACCTTCCCTCCTTTTCAAGTGCGATGGCATACTCTTCCCATAGCAACGCGTAAACGCAACCGATCTCCCTCTTCACAACATACGCATACACAACGCTCGGTTTTTCCACCACCTTTGCGTACGAGCACCAGATCTTGAGATACCTGAGATCCCCATTATACCGTGCGTCGTCTTTGAATTTCCGCACAGTTTCCTCCAATAATTGTACGAGGCCGGAGTTGGGGTCATGTTCAGAGAACGTGCGGGTCGTCCACTTGATATAGTCGTCGTACGCAGTGAGTGGGTCTTCGTCTTCGTCTAAGGCTTCAGTTATGCTAGCACGGTATTCTGCCCGTTCTTGTTCGAGCTGAGATGCACGCAGATTGGACATCGTCCTCCGTCAGTTCGTTCGACCAACTCGCCTTCGCTGTGGCTATTTTCCCGACACGTGACACGACGCGTAGCATGTCACGTGGTTGCACACTCACCATCATGTGTGTGGGTTCACTCCACATCGCCACCTCCGACAAAACCCATTTTCTTTACTTTGGGTTGTGCTGGAAAGGGTCTTCGTGTTATTTTGAATGCTTCATGGACGACACTGACAGAAATTTCTATAACAGTGACGCGATTATGGACGAACTTGCTGAAGCTCGAGTTGAATTGGCACTGTTAGAAGAGCGAGAACGACAACTACCCGAACGCCTTCGCAGCGTCCGCTCTGCTCTCCAGGTGCAGAAAAAGAGGACCGACCAACTCGTTCAGCGCGCTATAAACTGTCCTATTAGCTGTCTTCCTGTTACGGCCCTTTATCAAATAATCTATCTGGCAGTCAATGATGGTGGTTGGTCGATCTTTTCCCGTCAGTGCACCAAGCGGGGGGTTGGCTAGCGTCGTTGGAGAAACGTGATTTTGACGTCCCCAGGTCTGTGGACTAGTATTGTGATAGACCCTAGATGGTCTGCCTCTCTGGTGTCAGCACACGTGACGAGAAGTCATGAATGTCCACTCGACATCGAAATATCCTCCTGGTATTCTCAGGCTGAATTTCCAAGGTTCTCTCAACTCCTTGGGCTTGTTATCTCTTGTGGATACCGCTGGTGTAACCTCGTTATTCAGTTTAACGACACGAATTTGGAGGATAGCATCATCAGAAGACTTTGGGACGTGATGTTCCCCTCGCCGAAACGTGTTGTCATCCACGTAAGACATAGGGTTGACTGTCCACCATTCCTTGATCTGCAGCATGCCCATGCGCTTGAACATTTGGATCTTGGGGAAGGCATCAAACTTGGTAGCTTCTCGGCTGCTGCTAGCCTCAAATCCCTTTGCTTGAAATATTCTCCGTTGACTGTGCCACTATTGCCATCAATAACTTTGCTCAGAACTGCTCACGATTTCTGGGTCAAATTGTGGAGCTCTACCTCCTGACAGTATCCACTTTCCATTCCTCGAGTCTCTTACGGTCGAGCTCGAAGATCCCCAGTCATTTTTGGGGGCCGTTGTAACCCCAAGGCTCGATTATTTCACATGGTTCTTTCTAGGGCGCACCGCCCTCTGGTCGATGATAGTCGCGGACCTTGAAGGCAAATTCCCAAACGTTCAGCATCTCTGCCTTCAATATTCTAAGAGCCCTGCTGGTTATGCGTGTATTCAGGACGCTGTAGTCATCTATGCGGCGTTCCCTGGTGTGCGCCACATAGAAATGGACGTACTTGATTTCCTTGCTTTCTGCGCGGCGGGATGGGACGACATCCCTTTGTCCACTGCCGATCGCTGGACGCACCTCGAGCATTTGTCCCTTGTACAGTTGGGCTGCGAGGATTCCATTGATAGCTTCATTGAATGGCTTCATGCTCGAAAACTTCGGGGCCGACCTCCCTTGCAAGTGACATTGTCTAAGTTCAACGCTGACGACGATGTGTTAAGGAGCCCGTGGTTGATCCCACTGTACGACTCGCTACATGAGTGTTGCGTGCTGGAGCTAAAGGGCCTTCCACTGACGTTCGATCTCAATATGACTGTGCACCCATCCGATTCGGTGTGTTTTATCCTTGCGTGCGAATTGAAAACCCATTTCTCTGCCTCTTGTGGGTTTTTCAGGACGTCTATGGAAATCCTCCTATTATAGGCATGCTAAAATCGGCCATAAGCACTCAACTCGTGTACCGGAACAAATGAGTGAGGGACAAGCTGTCAAAACCACTAGCATCTACAAAACTACCCGAGGGAGTGAGCAGGTTATACCTGCCTCCGTTTGGAAGTGACTTGTCGTAAGACTCGCTAAGACACTTGTTGGCCAATGAGAGAGCTCGCTCAAGTGCGGAAGAGCTGTTAACAGCCGCGTCGCGTAGCTGTTTCGCAGATGTAGGATCCGTGTTCTGCCACCTCCGATATGTCCCTTGGGCCCAAGTCTGCCGCTTTTCTTGGTGCATGTCCCACATAGAGAAAGGCTTTCCGTACTGTCTCGTATTCGCCCCCTGTCCCCCGGTTCGTAACGTATCCATTCACACTCTACAGCTATGCTTGTCTTCGCTGCAGCAACGCATGGAACATATGAACTTGGGAGCTTTCAAATTGACACGACCATGGATGAACTTACCGAAACCCGAGCCATATTAGCACGGTTGGAAGAGCAGAACGGTAACCACTGGAACGCCTTCGCAACGTCTGCTCTGTTGGTCAGACGCAGACGCAGAGAATCAGCGAACTCGTCAAGCGCCTTATACTACACCCTATTGGCCGTCTTCCTGTTACGGCTCTTTATCAGACAATTCAGCTGGCAATCAATGGTAGTCGTTGGCTGGTCTCTGCCTATCGGTACACCAAGCAGGGATCGGCTAGCGTGTCACGTCGTCGGAGAAACGTGATTTTGATGTCGGAACCACGTCTTTGGACCACTCTTGCGATACACCCTGGGTAGTCTGCCTCTCTTGTGACAGCACAAGTAAAAAGTCGTGAATGTCTGTCTACTCAACATCGAAATATGTTCCTGGTACTCTCAGGTCGATTTGCCAAAGTTCTCTCCCAACCCCTTGGTCTTGTTATTTCTTGTGGATTTCACTGGCGTAACCTCGTTATTCGGATTAAAGTCAAGAATTCGGAGGACAGCGCTATCGGAAAAGTTCGGGACCTGATGTGTGTTACAATCTACACGAAACAGCAGCCGGACTATCCATCACTCCTTGATCCACAGCACATCCATATGCTCGAACACCTGGGTCTTGGGGAAGACATCAGACTCGATGACTTCTCAGCTGCTGCTAATCTTAAATTTCTCAGGTTACAATGTTCTCAGCTTGGGGAACGCCTATTGCTGTTATTTATGTCCCTCAGAACGTTGACAGCGCTTCCAAACTCGTTGTGGAATGCAGTTCTATTTTCTGACAGTGTCCACTCATCATTTCTCGAGCCTCTTTCGGTCGTGCTCGGAGATCTCCAAGCCACTATGACACCAAGGCTTGGCTATTTTACATGGTGCCCTCTAGAGTGCTGGTCGATGACATTCGCGGATCTTGAGGGCAAATTCCCAAATGTTCGCCATTTCTGCCTTCGATATTCTCAGAACTTTGTGGATTATGCAAGCACCAAGGACACCGTAGCCATCTATGCAGCGTTTCTCGGTGCACGTCAAATAGAAATGCTTCTGATTGCCTCGCTTTTTGTGAGGCGGAACCGGACGATAGCCCTTTGCCCACTGCCAACCACTAGACGCATCTCGAACATGTGTCCTTCGGAAATTTTGGCTGCCAGGATCCTGGTGGTAACCTTGTGGAATGGCTTCGTGCTTGAAAACTTCGGGGCTGTCCTGCGCTGCAGGTGGCGTTGTCAAAGTTCGATCCTGAAGGCGCCGTGCTAAACGGCCCATGGTTAATCTCATTGTACAACACGTTGCACGAGTGTTGCATGCTTGAATTGAAGGGCGTTCCGCTGTTGTTCAAATTCACTGTGCGCCCATCTGATTCGGTATGTGTTTTCATTTCTGCATGCGAACAGAAAACCCATCTCTCTGCCTCTTCATGTCGTTTATGGAAATCCTCCTATTATTGGTATGCCGGAATGGGCGATAAGCACTGAAGTTGCACACGCAAGTACCGAAACAAATGGTGACGGACAAGTCGTCAACCAAATCACAAAGACCCGTGTTCTGCCAGCTCCGATACGTACCTTGGGCGCAAGCCTGCCGCATTTGTTGCTGTATGCCCTATAGGAAAAGGTATTTTGCAGTGTCTCATATCTTGCGCTATCCCCCCAGCTTGCAATACATGCTGCATAATATCCATACCCAGGCTTCAGAACTATGTTTGTCTTCGCTGTGGCAGCACAGATCATAATAGCATACGAACTTGGGAGCTGCAAACCAAAGAAGCACCCTGGGGCGTAGAAAAGTAGTAACAAGCAGCTCAGTCTGGGGCTACTGCATGCATAACCACGCACACTACAATTCTTTGAGGAGGCGAATAGTGTGTGTGAACATACAGAGGCAACGTCGATTGACTGACGAAACTCAGTAATTTATGCCCAATTTGCACAGGAAATGCCTAACAAACTACCTTTCTGTGGTTAAGGATGTATTCTCAGCTCCTGTCTGACTGAAAACTGACTCGAGATTGATCATATAGACTAGATTTTTTTGCTATCGTACGCGCACAAAAACACAAGCATTGGCATATATGGTGACAGAGGGGGATAACACTGGCTTTCCAAGAACAGCAAAGAAAAAGGAAGGTACGCAGTAATACAATGAGGGCGTAAAAATATAGCTCCAAGTTTTCGGAGGTTCTGTTGGTTGATGGGGATTGGTGAGTTAATGCCCTCAAGACATAACGTACATACTCGTTGACTCCAGCAGTTATGTTCAGGGGATCGGTGCCCACAACGCGGTCGCAGCGCATGCAGCCATGCATGTGCCCTGGGCCGCGTTGCAAGCAAGGATCATTGGGGGTGCCACAGCGGCGGCGACCGTGCCAAAGGTGAATCCGGCCACCGAATAACAACCCACAGCTATCATGTTGCAACCTGTGACAGGAAACATGTCAAGCGGCAGCAAGGATGTGCAAGGCTCATGTTGGTGTCGTCTCAATGGCTCACCAGTTTGGCATGCAGCATATGCAAGGGGGCCCGCCATTGCGACGGGTGTCGAGCTGAGAGTAATGATACTAAGCAGCTTGAGGTTCATGATTGTCTGTTTGAGGGTTTTTCTTGGTTCATGGCCGCTCTCTTATAGGTTGTGCTGCGCAGTGGAATACTCAGACGGGTCCTAAACCTAAATATTGACCGCTGCGTCGTGCTGCCATCGAGTCACGTCTCCCACACCGCTTATCGCCAAATTAAAGCCTAAACTTGGTGAGCATACAACAATTACACGTACAGCAAGTTGCAAAAGGTTCCGGAAGGGTGGAGTATATCCAGTAATTCGGTTATGCTATGCTAACAGAGGGGCTCCCGCTAACTGTGAGGATGTGTTATAGTGAACCCTATCACAGGTACATGTTCATGACGCAAGTCGACCTACAGTTCAGACATGCATTACGATTCTAATACCGCGGGTTATCAAGGTGCGCCGTGCAACAAAACCTTTATCACGATGGGCGTAAAATGCTAGCAATGTCTGTCAGAATCTCGCCCGACATTAGGTTACTGATAACAGACCAGATCACGCCTCCCCATACTTGTCTTGCGCAACAGGTCACTCGAATATTGTGATTCGTTCTTGAGTCCATTTTACATAAGGAGTTCGATCGGACACGAGGCCTATCAAAGTTCCCAGTGTTTGTATCTATAGTTAGTGCAAGATTCGACTTTCTAAGGTTGCGGTTGCGAAGGCAGTTACACGATACGTTCGATATTAGGTAGCGAGTACGTCAAGGGGGAGCGTAGGTCTCAAGAAGTTTCCCAGTCTGGCACGAAGATAAACTATGGTGTGGCGTAGTCTGGTGACCAGACCAGGAGTGGCAAACCGCGAACGTGGAGAAAATTGGCATGTGGCTCGGTTAAAGTTGATCGAGTCATCTCCATTGCTGAAACTGAGATCTTGAATGAGCGCCTTCCTGCGGTTGGAATAGCAACGAAATCCAGAAGCCAGGTTCTTCCTTACCCGCAAGGATGCAAATACGTTCCACTTCTTTATTTATCCCAATCGTGCACACCATGACGAGCCGAAGTACATCTCAGTCGTCCATCCTATACCCGAGACGGCCACTACGTTAATATGGAACTTCGAAAGACCTTGCCTTCTAGGTTGTATTTTGCATCAACAAAGATGCCTTCTTCACTGTATTTCACAAACCCAGCAAAAGTTCCCACTATCGATTCGGCTCGCGTTCTATTTCCGTCCCCCTCTCATGCAATCGCACACGATCGCCATCGATAATGATGTCGTGCTACGCTTAGACTCGCGATGTGATCATAATCGAGGTCAACAAAGATTACCCACACTTTGAACAGATTTCGGGAGAACACCGCTGGTTCTGGATTCCAACACGAACCATCTGCGGGGGAAGAGGACCGCATGACTCAGGTATTCTATTGCACCTTTAATACCGGTCGCGTCGTTACGAAGAACGGTAATTTATTGATCATTCCCTTTCAGTCTTGGGGGCCGCTTGCTGCAGTGGATTCCGTCCTCTGGGGAGCCAAGTGACCGCCTGGCGTGCCCGCCGCAGTTCCTCCTCGTTCTCGTTTTCTCCATACATCTACTTACGTGTGACACCACCCAGGCTGGAACGCATTTTTGTGAAAGACTCGTGATTCAACGGTTGGTCGCTCGAGGACAGGTGAGAAAGCTCGGCGTACTTATACCACCTCGTTACCTTGTTGAGTATTCACCTCGTCACATCGCTCCTTTGCATGCCACGCAGTATCATTAGATGACCTTATCCTGCTCCCTACTTCTAGGATGTACGAGTCGAAGATGCAATGAAACATCCGTTGTAGGGGCTGCTTCCAGGATTAACTAGTCCAGCTCCCCAACCCGGTTACAGCGAAAGTGGATATGTCGCCAGTGGTACTCTCGCACCCGGCGCTGATCCTGTGTGCATCTGCCATTCCTCCCAGAGAATTTGGTCGCTCAATATATCCTTAAATCAATCGCAATGATGCAATGACAGGTGCGGAACTTCGCATACTACGATCCCTTCCTTCGGAGTTGCAGTCCTTCGGAATGGCTGAGTCGGGTGGGTGGATTCTGATTAAACCGTGTCTACGGTAGTCAGTCTTCCTTGAATGTGTAAAGCCCAGTGTAAAGTGGCAGGCAGGGGAACACTCAGGCCGGCTGGTCAGCGAGGCCTAGTTGATCAGACAACCTCTTACATACTAAGTGTTGTTGCTTGGCCTGGTGGCAGCACTTGGGAAATCCACAACAGAAAAAATCCTTCAATGCACCAGCAGGCACTGATTGACGATCTCCGGCACACAGCCATCCCCCTCAGCAAGGGTATCTATTGTCTCAGCCTTACACATGAACACTAAAGTAAGAAACTATTTTGTAATTTTTAAACAAACCTACTGTCTCCAGAAAATGCCTTCCCTCCAGGTGTAAATATATCATCCTCCGCAACTCGGCAGCTTGACGAATACTAGTCTGCTCTGCTCGCCCGATAATTACTAAAATTAGTATGGTGTTGTTTGGCAACATTGCAAAACTAAATAAAAACGCTGGTTTGAGTTTTGGTCAGTTCTGGTCACAAAAGAGAACGTCTCGGCGACTAGGTCTTCTGTTGTACATGATCCCCAAAAACACGGTTTAGTTGTGCTGGCAAGATGGCCGAGCGGTCTATGGCGTGTGACTCAAGCGCAAGCTTGCCTGATTCTTCAGGTCTTCTCATCCTCGTAAGAGGGCGTGGGTTCAAATCCCACTCTTGTCATCACCAGCTTTTTTGAAGGTCGCTGTAAAACCACTGGGGGGCTCCTACAATGGATGAATTTATCAGCGAACTCATCTGATTCACATTCAGACATGTGTAATAATATTATTATGCATGTCTAATTGTGAAGACATACGGACTATCGCTGATTGGTTGCCCGAAACCATCGTATCAAACGGTAACTTACTCGACCGAGAGGCGGCACGATAAAAAAAGAGTCCTTCAATCCACCCCAAGAAACTGCTTGGCAATTCTGGCAGACAACGAGCTAATTTACACAGAAGGGATATATGCTTATGCGTCTCGGGTAAATCACCAACATCAGCCCTGGCGCAAACGCCGGCAAGAAACTCGATAGAAATAAAGAATTACTGACTGGGGGCTGGGGACGTGCCCAAAGAACGTGCAGATCCTCCACTTGACATGGTCATCATAGGCAGAGTGGATCTTTATATTTCTCTAAGGCTAGACTTATGCTATCTCGAGTTAGGATGCACGCAAATTTTTGGACATGCTGGCCTTCATTTGTAGCATGTCACGTGGTCGCGCACACACTCATGTCGCCATGCCCGAGAGACCCATTTTCCTTACCTTGCGCCGTGCTGGCAAAGGTCTTTGTATTATTTCGAATTCTTCATGCACGACACTGATGATGATTTCTATCGCAGTGATACAGCTATGGATGAACTTACTGAAGCCCGAGCCGAGTTGGCACTGTTAGAAGATCAAGAACGGCAATTACTTGAACGCCTCCGTAACGTCCGATCTGCCATCCAGGTGCAGAAGAAGAGGATCGGCGAACTCATCAAGCACGCTAAAAACCATCCTATCAGCCGTCTTCCTGTTACAACCCTTTATCAGATAATCTCTCTGGTGGTCAACGGCTGTACCGGTTCTCCAGCCTTTGCCCATCGGCGTACCAAGAGGTTGTTGGCTAGCGTGTCACGTCGTTGGAGAAATGTGATCTTGACGTCCCCTGATCTCTGGACCAATATTGCGATAAGCCCTGGGTGGTCCGCCTCTCTTGTGAGAACACACGTGAAGAGAAGTCGCGAATGTTCACTTGACATCGAACTATCCTATTGGTATCACGAGGAAGAATTTTCTCTAAGGTTCTTTCAACTACTTGGTCTAGTTATTTCTTGTGGGTACCGCTGGCGTAGCCTCATGATCCAGCATAACAACGAAAAACTCGAGGAGAGGATCATCGGAAGCATTTGGAATGTGATGTTTTCCTCTCTGAAACGCGTTACCATCCACATAACACAACAGTCTGACTACCCACCATTCCTTGGTCCGCAGCATGCCCATACGCTCGAAGACCTGGACCTTGAGGAAGGCATCAGAGTTGATAACCTCTCAGCTGCTGCTAGCCTCAAATCTCTTCGCTTGAAATATTCTCTGTTGATGGCGCCACGGTTACCATCAATAATGTCGCTCAGAGCGCTGACGATATGCGGGTCGAATTGCGGAGCTTTACTTCCTGAGAGTATCCACTTACCACTCCTCGAGACTCTTACGGTCGCGCTCGACGATCCCCAGTCATTTTTGTTGGCCATTGTAACCCCGAGGCTCGGTTATTTCATGTGGTCGTCTCCGACGGCCGATGTCAGTTGGTCGAAGACATTCGCAGGTCTTGGGGGCAAATTCCCAAACGTTCAACATCTTTGCCTTCAACATTCTCCGAGCTCTCTTGCTCATGCGGGCATTAAGGATGCTGCACCCGTCTATGCGGCATTCCCTGGTGTACGCCATATGGAAATGCACACACTTGATTTCCTTCCTTTCTGTGTCGTGGCGGAAGAGGATGGTAGCACTTTGTCCACTGCGGACCGCTGGACGCACCTCGAGCATCTGTCCCTTGAAAAATTCGGCCGCTTCGATCCCAATAATATCCTCGTTAAATGGCTTCGCATTCGAAAACTCAGGGGCCGTCCTCCGTTACAAGTGACATTGTCCGGGTTCAATACCAAAGGCCTCGTGCTAAACAGCCCATGGTTGATCTCATTGTACAACTCGCTATGCGAATGTTGCGTGCTGGAGTTGAAACACCTTCCGCTAACGTTCAATATCAATCTGACTCTGCGCCCATCCGATTCGGTATTATTTGTTTCATTTCTACATGCGAACTGATAACTTATTTCTCGGACTTTCTAGGATGTCTATGGAAATCCCCCTATTATTGGTATGGTGGAGTCGACAATACGTTCTGAACTCGAACGTGCAAGTACCGGAACATATGGGTGAGGGACTGGCCGTCGACCGAATTACCAGGATCCGTGCTCTGCCGCTTCTAATACGTACCTCGTGCACAAGTTTGTTGCATATCTTGATACAAGTCTTAGAAAAGGTATTGTGTACTGTCTCGTATTTACCCATTGTTTCCCAGTTCGGAATGCAGGCATTCAGGCTCTAGAGTTATGCCTCTCTTCGCTGTGGCAACACACAGATGTTATGCTCTCCACTCTGACATATCGATCTTTTCACCGTAGCAGACGTTGATGTGAATAAAGCATAGAACGGGACGAGAGAAGCTGCGAGAGGAGACACAACAGCATCCAACTTGCTGCTACGGAAAAAAACCGACACCTCGTCACTCAGCAACTTCTCCAACATATCGAAACACCATCCCACCGGGTCAAGCGGAGTTTATCAACGAACTGACGTGGTGACATATTACTCCGTTTCAATGTTACGCATGTTTGAGTGCGAATAGTATGGGTATTAACATCGATTGGGCTGCGCAAAATGACCGCCCCAATCAGTAACTTACATGCAGAGGGAGTTATTACTTGGTCACTACAAAAGAAAACACCAGTCCTTCAATCTACCCGAAGGTACTGCTTAACGATATCCGGCACACGACCATCCACCTTAGAAAGGGTGTCTATCGTCTCAGTCTTACACATAAAGAGACACAGACGTCAGCCTCACTGCAAACGAACACCGGCAAGAAACTCTAGAAGTAGACTTACCCAAAGTCTCCCAGAAAACGCCTGCCCCTCAGGCGTAAATAAGTAATCGGCTTCCTCCGCAACTCGGCAGCTCGACAAGTACCGTCCATGCATCGCAAGTTCGTCGGGACCAACCGCCGCATGAACGAGCGTCCGACTGCCTTCTTCAGCCGTACGTGCGGAAAAGAGCACGCCCGCCAAGGATATCAACAGTCGAGTGTACCATTTACCACTGATGTCCCGGAACAAGTTCGAGAGGCAGAATCCGGGGTGGACGGTGCATGCAACGACGGGTGTAGGAGTTGGGAGACGAGCGGCGAGTTCTCGCACAAACATGACCTCAAGCACTACAAGCCCGCATAAATCCTCGGAAGCAACGCACATTGTATGGTCAAAGAACACCCACGCTTAGTCACATTGTACCGGTCCCCGCTGCAGTTGTCGAATGAATTAACGCTATCTAACAGAGCGGACAACACCACTAACCTATAGCAGAGATTCCTGTCATTTATACCCTCTAACACGCTCTCCCACTGCCCCGCATTCTTCAACCTCCCTGCACCAAAATAATGACCAAGGCTAGAGACAACAACCAGACGCGAGGGGGATTCTGGAGTGGAGGCTTTGACGAGGTGCGGGAGCATCAGAATGCTCAGTAAAGCCGTAGATAGATAGTTCACTTGAAGCCTTGCATATTAGAAACGATCAATATATGTCAGTGTCGTTTGACTCGTCATCGAGCGTCGGACACACGCACGTAATTTCCCAGTTATCACTCGTCGTAGTATACTCCCGTATAAACATGCCCGCGTTCGCGACGAGCACATTCAACCCATCATCCGAACACGGCTGAGCTGCAAACGTAGCTGCAAACGCACGCACGCTGTCGAAACTGCTAAGATCGAGCGGCAATGGAATTATTCCGTCACCGTCATCGTCGGTGCGCTCCATCAGAACTAGAACGAAATAGCATCAATGCCCAGCTGAAATAGTGGTGCGTCGTCGTCGCCTCCAGGAAGGTAGCGTTCATTTAGTATTTATGGTATCTCACCTACTTACCTTCACGCGTCCGTTCACATTTTTCCTCGTCTCTGCATGTAGGGAACAGAAGCTTGGGCTTCATACGCGTCAAGTGAACGGATGCCTCAAGACCAATCCCAACGTTCGACCCGACTACCATGATCGCCTTCGACCCCACATCACCTGAATAGATAGGGAGCGACTTCCATTGTTCGCGGAAGTGCTGGGCAATGCTAAACTTGCCCATAGCCTGAAGTAGTGAGGAGCGTCGATCTTTGTAATGGTTCCTGAGTGAGAATTAGAATCATTCGGGTACCGTTCGCTTCAGTCAATTTTCAAGTACGTGTTTGTAGCACAATTGGTAAAAGGGGCCACACGGACACCTAACCAATCAAATATACCACTCCAACGTGGCACTTTGGGGTACTACAGACCAAACCATGCGGAGTCCGGATCCGAAACATACCAAACCACATTTGCAGCCTGCAGTGAGCAAAAAATGACAGTAACTATGAGGTATGTACTTTCTGTGGTGAGCGACTATTGAGACATTTTTTTTTTCCCTTTACAATCACCCGAATCAACACACACCCTCCCCCTAAGGCACGGCACACGACCGACAAACGACGGTGTCGACAGCAAATCCTGGATCCAAAACAACTGGTGCCAGCAAAAGATCGTAGCTACACAAGAAAGAGACCAACCAGGACAGCGGTAGTTGCAGATGACAGAGAAGAAATGAGGACAAAAATGATGAAATGAAATGGAAAAAAACGGTTTGGTGTGTGATGGAAAAGGAAGGAAGTGTGCGCCCCGCCCATCTCCCCCACGTGGTCTCATCGAGTCACATACAACAGATACCGGCACAAATTGCTTTGCTCACAACAACAGCAACAGAAGAGAGAGAGGGGGGGAAACAAAGAATGTGTGTGTAGAACGCTCATCGTTTGCTGCAACTCCAAGCATGTCAAATCAGGATCATGCGTGGCCAACGCCGCCCATCGGTGGTGGCGCTGGCCCCGCCTCGTAGGGATGAGGGGGACCACCTGGTCCTCCAGGAGGAATCATCATTGGGTAGGGAACTGCATGTTGTACTGCGCGACGGGGGGTCAACGGTAAGAACAACCACTGGGATTGATAAGACGCACGTTGTGGACTTTGGTAATAAGGGTGTGCATGCATGGGCGTAGGGGTAGGCGGCATCGAAGGACGAGGACCTGCACCATTTGGTGGGGGCGGATACGTGCCAGGCGGTGGCATATATTGCGGTGCTAGCAAACAAGACATCTTAAGGATGTCAATCTTGAAATAATGACTCGAGGTACTCACGAGGCATCTGTATTGGGGACGCAGCATACATCGCTAGAGCATCGGCTGAGTTCAACGGTCGAACCTGGCAAAAAGTAGATCGCTCACGTTGCCCGTTTGGTGGCATGCCTGGTGGATATGGCATTGGTTGCATGAAGGGCGAGGACACATAAGCACCGGGAGGTGGTGGTGCCATTCCATGCATCATGGGCTAACAAGAGAAAAAAATCAACGGTTGCACAACAAATCCCGCGGTTGCTGGCTGCTCACTTGTCCAGCATGATAGTAAGGTATGTAGACAAAACGTTGTTCTCCCTCTTCGTAGACAGGGTGTGTGACGGGGGGTGGACCAGGCGGAGCCATGTTGGTTGGTTGTTGTGGCGTCTGGTGCTGAACAGTTGGGAACATGTACATGTAACGCTTGCCAGTGTATGGCCAGGTTGCAGCTACAGCGGGCAATCAGGGGGGGAATTTAAATCACCAGCGAGGTCGTTTTGCACATACCTACGGTGTTCGCCTCGGCAATTTTGCCACTCTTGAAAGGATTGAACTCGTCCTTGACGTTAACTACCGCCTTTTTGATCACGAACTTGGGACCGAAGAACGGATTGGGAGTTACAGGAGTCTAAATTTCATGTCAATCTCGTTACGATACGAAATATTGAGGTTACTCATACAGATTCTGCAGCCTTTGGCTTGGGCGATGCAGAGGCCGAAGCGGATGCAGCACTGGGGTTCGGAGAGGTAGGACCCTGCTTCAACATGCATTAGTCAATTACCGGACACGGGATCCACACATCAATTTTACAGGAGTGAAAGCATTTGCCTTTGGGTTCGGCCTGAAAGACGAGGCATTCGCATTCAATCGGTTGGCGGCGGTGGTAGGAGAAGTAGGAGCAGTAGGAGCTGCGGCACTGGATGTCGTCCCGTTTGCTTGTGGTGCTGGAGAGCGAGCCTTGTTGCCTTTGAACGGCGGTATGGGCTGGATGTACATGCCAGTCATTTTGCCATTAGTTTTTCCAGTTTCAACAGGCTTCGACGCAGGAGGTTTCGCAGTGGCAGCGGCAGCGGCGGCGGGTGGTACGGGTTTCGTAGGAACGTTCGCGGGAGATGCAGGCTTACGAGCCGTCTCTGCAACAACCTTGGATGGAACTTGTGGCATTCGTGAGGCGCTAGAAGACGCGTTGAGAGTTGCAGGAGTACCGATGGCACGTGCTGCCCCTGAAGCAGCGTCTTGGGAAGCCTTCTCCCGGATTTGGCGTTTCTTTTCTTCATCCTTGGCAAGAATAGAAACGAGATCATCAGGCATAGGCTTGTTGAGCTGTTGTTTGGGAACGTTGCAAACGCCGGTAAGCAGTGCAAGAAAGTACGTAAAATGATAGCCGCTGACCTTGAACGTTTGAGAGAATTTGATGAGCTCTGCCTTGCGCTTGTCCATTTCGCTCTTAACCAGTGCTTGTTTCTTTTGAGTCAAGCGTTGCCTTTCGTTTGTAACGAAATCACGGAATGCTGGAACGGGATCGGCGGGCGGCTGCCAAAAGAGAAGAACCCAAAGTCAGTGAAACGTGCATCGGCGCCAGAGTATGGGTCACTGAAGATCGTGCTCGAATTGTTGTAAGACAAACCTTGGTCACAGATGAGGTCGAGGGTGCCGGGGACGTCGACTTGGTTGTGGGTGGAGTCACCTCCTTCTGCGCTGTGGCTACTACACTTCCATCGGGGCCATTCACAGAAACCTTGGGAATCTCAGGCTTCGGTGGAGAAGTTGTGGTAGTTGATGTCCCTGCAGTCTGTTGTAGCTGCTGTGGTTTACGTGCTCCCGGCGGAACATAAGCATTCGCACCGCGGACAACTGCACCATACCTGACGTGCATAGCGCATGAGTGTAGGGAGCATTAAGAAAAAGAAGCATGTTCCGCACTTGTCCTCTTCATTTATACCACTGTCATCGATGGCCAACCCCCTCTCCTCGGCCATATGGGGATTACTCGTCGCACCCTGTCCAATGATCAGCACCATCAGTCGGTACACCTAATTATAAGGTAGCTTACGCCCATAATCTCGCTAGCAATGCGCTGCGCCTTCTTCTCTCGCTCCCTGAAATCTGGAGCATTGCGATCCAACTTGGTCGTGTAGAATTCCTCGTTAAATGAAGTCGTGACGCCAAACTTCTGCTCGTTCACGGCAAACTGATCCCACGAAACATTGGCGCCCGCACCCGGACCGAAAGTAACCTCGTCCCCTAGGCCTTCATGCACAGCCGCAGCACCGCTGCTGGAAACATCCTCTGGAGACTTCCAGGCTTGTAACTCGCGCTCGCGAGACAGTTTTGCCTTGGCGGCTATCTCGGTATCCGTCCTGAAGGCTGGAAGCACAACAATAGCGTCAGCGTCAGTGTCACAGCGGTCACCAGGATAAAACAAGAAAACAAGGTACACGAGTTGCACTGGTTGGGTCAACAAGTGGCACACTCACAATCACCGTTCGGCACTTTGGCATCGGCAGGGCCAGATTGCCATGTGTCGATGCTGGAAGAAGGGATGAAGAGGGAGTCCTTGAGCGGAGTTCCAGGTTTTGAAATTTCCCTAATGTCCTTCAACGTTACGCCTTGCTTGTCCCCTTCGGGTCCTGTAGATGACACGGCACCTTCGTAGCGTAGTCCGCCCTTGGTAGTCAAGGTAATGGTGGTACCCTGCAACGCGATGTTGAGAGAGGCAAAGACAGAGCGAGGTGAGACGTACAATAAGACCTGTGAGGGACTGAATGATGCGATCCTGAGGCTGAGGTTGGGGTTGGGGCTGGGGGGGATCCTGAGGGCGAGAGCCATTGGCACCGGCCAATGGGGGGAATGCCCCCTGATTGTTGGATGGAGGAGGGCCGTTTGGGAGGCGAGCAGGGGAATTGGCAGGAGAGAAGGTGGGAGAGGCCCTGGCCCCTGACCACGCCTGGGTGCGGCTGGGAGAGATGAGAAGACAGGGCAAGGCTAGGGAAAGGATCTGGGGACGAACCGGGTGGTGGGTTCTCTCTTCTGAGTCTTCGGACGAGAAGCAGATGCCATTTGGAAGGGGGTAAAGTGAGAACAGAAAGCAAAGAAAGAAGAAACAGTGAGTAGTAAGAGCGAGCCAAAAGAGAGCTGAAATGTCGACAGATAGCGAGCACGACGCGACTGGGAAGCTGGGTGCGCTGGGTTGACCTGACCTGAGTGCGATGAACCAGAAAACTAAAACAGAAGGAAAGAAAAGAGAAAACAGCAGGGCCTGGCTACAAGCTGGGCGACCACAACGCTAACCAAGTGTTTTCGACTGGGACGTCGTCGAAGAGTCAAGTCGCCAAATTCTCCAGCTAGCCAATAACAATGCAGCCACGGTCAGACCCCGGCCACCACTCCCCCACATATCGTCGCTGTCCACTGCCCCCGTCCTCATTCCTGGTGCTCCTACGACTATCCATGCTCGCATTTGCCATCTACGCTACTACCCCATACACGACCAACATCCTCCGGTCCACCCGTCGTTGCAGTCGAGACCCGCCGTCGACACTCACGGAGTTTGAATCCCGTCTCCCGGGGTCCCAACGCATGCTTGTCCTCTGCAAGCCAGGCTGTACACCCGGCCATTCGACCCCCAATTATAACAGCCATCCCACCAGCACTGCAACCTACCACGCGGCGATTGATATATGTAGCTGCCGATTGTATGTCATCGAACTCTGGGGCGCTTTCCCCGGATGGCCTGCTTGCAGAACAAGGCACGGTGGTTAATCAATCCGCACGTAAGTGCGATACGCTTCGCTTCCGTGCTTCGACGATCATTTCTCGAGTATGTTTTGGCAACCCAAGTCTTCATCGGCATACCATCAATGCCACGATAGCGACAAGTCAGCAATCAAGCAACTATGGGACAGTCAGCCGTCTTGATGGAAGTTTCAGACTATCTGCGCCAGCGAGTCCTTGAGCCTGCGAAGAGTAGAACAGACAGACCATCTGCGGAGCGCTGGGAAGATATGGTTTACGACAGAGGGCCCGGGCCTGGAAGTGGCGACGACGCGAGGTACCGCCATCGTCGCAGGGTCCTCACGTACGCAAGTAGCGACCATAGAATTTGGGACGCAGGACTGCTACGGGACCGCAAGCTTCGAGTGGTCTGCGTCCAACGATATATACACCATATCATAAGACTCGCCTCGAATTACGAACTTGAAGTAGTATGCTGCTAGACCCGACCCACTCATCCTGAACACGTCCGGTAATTATTATGCAGTTGACGCGGCCTCTCTGTCCGCATTGGAAGCGTTCTTCTCGCGATCAAAAGCCCGTACATTCACAACATTGATCATGAGAGGCTGTTCACAGAAAGATAGGCGATGACACGGCATACCTGCATGATGCGGGGACAGCAGAAGAACAGCTGCAGGATGTTGTTTCCCTTACCGCAAAACGGCAAGTGTCGCCGGAGTTATCTTGTGCGGTCAACCTCGAAGGAATATTAGACAGTGACCGCGTCATTCGGCAGATGTTGTCTTAAAATCTTGTTGGCCAGTCACAGTGCCAGTAGCTGGTGCAGGTCGGATGATGAGATGGTGGTGGTTAACATCAGATTTTAGTTGCTTAGATGGCCTGCGCGGTCCGCTTTCTGATGGTCTCGTGGGGCCGCTGCGCAGACACGACAACACGTCATTTGTGTGGTGGCTGATACCAACGCCAGAACCACTTCCGCACGTACACACAGAAGGTACGAGATTGACGGAATGAACTATGGGATGGGATTTTGACTGACTACACTACCAACAGCACAACCAATCTCGCACATGCCAAGATCTGTAATTGCTTGCTCAAATTCTTGGATCCATAGCCTATCGTTCAAAGCACATGATATGCATACACACTTCTGCCAGGGATTTCACTATTGGCTAAACTCTTGTTCCTCGAATGACAGAACCCCATATACATATGTGCCTTATCAGACGTGGCACATTAACTCTGCACATGCTCGGTGATCCTACTTAGTACGGAGCTGCCAGGCCGGGCCTTTAAAGGTCTGTTCGTGGGATCGCTTTGACGTTGACCTTCCCAGTTTTCATCTCCTCCCTTGACCGAGCCAGCGGCCTGCGATGGCACGCGAAGTCGTTTACTTGCACGATGTCGACCCTCGACCGAATTATATGTCCACTTGGGAGCGGTTCAAACACAGGGAGGTACACTGGCTCGTCGAGATGTTCGCAGAAATGGTGGGAACACGCTGTCTTCTTTCTGTCGCGGACTCCAGTGGAAACTCAGCGGAATGGTATTGCAGCTTGGCGTATTCCTCTACGTGTATGCAGGTCAGACCACTCCGCTAATTTCCAGCAAATCCATCCTGACCCCGTTTCCATGCTGCAGGTTTGGGGCCAACAGCAGCACTGATTGTTGGAAACCTCACAGCGGAAAGCGGGATTGGATGTCGGTAGTCATTTTTTCGTCCCCTTGAATGCAAAATTCAGCGAAGAACCTCCACGTAGCTCTGTACACCATCGGTTTCGCCTATGCAATCGGAATCGTCCTTGCTGTCACGTTGTGCTCAGCAGCATCTGGTGGCCATTTCAGTCCAGGTGTTACCATCACACTTGCCCTATTCAGAGGTTTTCCCAAGGCAAAGGCCGTGAGGTTCGTGCCTAATACCCCCTTTCGTTCATCAGCTGAGTGCGATGTCCCAATGTAGATATATCGTCGCACAAATACTCGGCAGTTACTTGACCTGCCTTGTAGTATACGTGCAATGGAAAGACCTCCTTGTCGTGAGTAGCTACTTTACGTCTGGCAGCAAAGACTGCCCATGTTCCTTTCTCAACAACCTTTTGGGCGATTCTGTTCCCATCAGGCTGCAGAAGAGGTGCTGAACGCAAAGGGGCTCTACAACACCCTGATGTTTACGAACCTCGGCCCTGCTGGCGTATTCGCGCTCTACGTATCCCCAGGAACAAATCTGCACCGCGCGTTGCTCAACGAGTTCGTGACTGTGCGTGACTCCGACTCCCTCATCATTTCTTCCGTTGATGGTTGCGAATCCCACGGTCGTGTATTACAGGACTTCATGCTTGGCCTCGCTATATGTGGCGTTATGGATCCAACAAATCACTTCATACCTCCCATGGTCGCCCCGTGGATCATCGGCTTCACCTAGTAAGAGCCCCTATACTCCACTTCAGCCAAGTATTGTGCCTTACTATTAGTGTTCTGATACGCCACCTTCTCATGATAGCTCGGTCGCAATCTGGGGTTATGCTCCGACAGCCAGTGCGTTGCCTTTCCCGACGTTCGGTGTGTTATTATTACATGTTATTCCTAACCAACTCTCGCAGTTGCCGCCAACACGGCCCGTGATGTTGGAGGTCGTCTGATGGCTCTTACTATCTGGGGGAAGCAAGCCGCTGGCGGTCCATATGCAGCTATAGCGGCATTGACAAACATACCTGCAACTGTGCTTGCTTTCGCCGTCTACGATCTCTTCCTTGGCTCCGGTACTCGCAGTACGTCCTTTTTTACGCACTTTACAAATGAACATAACTTGAATACTATTCACGCACACAGCATTGACCCCGTACCACGTCGACTTCCTGCGTGCTCGGGTCCAATACCAGCAAGACAACGGGCTTCCGCCCCAACTTCGTCCCGACGGTCTAAAATCGGGCGAAAACTCACTCTCGAATGGTGCTAAGAAGCATATTGGCGATATGCCTGGAGTTGAAAGACGACCTACAGTCCGAAACCATGTTTGAAAGAAGTTTGGCCTTGGATGGTTTTGCCGCCGTGCAGACCAACTGAGGGGTCGAGGGTATCGAGTTGCTATATGATCGTATGATTCGCCTTCATAGCATGTATGCCAACCATCGTAAGGTCTTGTATAAGGAGGCTCTACGACTCATCACCCTCATGCCTCAACGGATGAACGCGGCCCTCGTCGAGCGTTAATATCGTTATAATGCGGTCATATTTGATGTGGGACCTTGGTGGTGTCTGGAGAACACTATGGGTTGTCATGCGATAGTGATGTGTGGATCTGTGTGCTAAGCAGTGCAGAAGGGTTGCGAAGAAAGTCCAGAGGGGAAAAAAGACCTTGAAGTTTGAACTGCCTGTGCTATAATGCAGAGACTATAGTGATACACTACGCTCCTCGCAGACTACGAGGAGGCACCACAGCATAAAAGAAAGGCCCTCCCTCCCTGCTTTGGAGCGTCCACTGATCTGCAAAACTACCTGAGGAAAATATCAGCCTGTCAATAACAACCTCCGTTTGGAAGCGACTGGTCGTAAGACTCCTGAAGCATCTAAATATTTCTATCAATACCGTGATGATGAACCGGCGTTGCCAAAAGCATCTTGGATAAAGAGTTTCACTGCAGGGCTCCCCTGCTTAGATGCGCAGAGCCTTCCATTGGGTGTGTCCAGAGCCTACAGTTGACTTCTTGGATCGATAGAACGTAATCTTCGAGTGCTCAAGCAGTCGATGTCGAGACAAAAGAAGGGCGAGTCCTTTCATTTCTATTTTTGGCTTCTGCAAACCGCCTGTAACGAGTTGGGAACGTGACCGATCGACCCAACAACAACCCATTGATGCTCTGCCGTGTCGAAACCTGTGGAACATTATTGTATTGAATTAAAAGAAGCCTGCTGCACCAGTGGTTGGTCAGTTTCTTGCTGGGGCCCGGAAGCATGGTCGCGGCTCATGTCGCCAAAACACCCTCGTACCAGCAAACGGTCATACCGTACGACAGCCCATTTGGAATTCTATATTACAAAGCCAGGGAGCATCCCGCAACAGGAGTCTTCCTAACAAGTGCAGAGGGGAGGATATTGAAAAAACCGCTATGCTCAAAAGAGCGCGAGTAATATATTGTGGGATTGCGGAGTTGATCGCATTTTCTGTTCTGCCTCCGAACTCCGAATCAAGTAAGTCGGTTGTCATTTTACTTGAGCGGGGCTCGGGGCATTTTTATTAGGCCAGAGAGATACAAGCCGGTTACAAGCAGTTCCGGTCTTGAAGTGACCCTGCGTATGTTACTCGGTAGTGGGTGGTTTGTCCTTACCCATTTACTCACCGCGGCTCACTCCGAGCAATCATCCATTTTCACTCTGAGCTCCGAGGGCACACCCCTTCCCCTGTGCGATGGAGTTCAGCTTGGTGGAAACGCACTGCAAAGAACTGACTGTATACGGGGCACAGGGGTGCAGTGTTCCCCCGCGTGTAAGTTAATTATAATGTGAGACTCCTCTATAACAGCATGTCTTCCTGTGTTGACGGGACCTGAGTTGCATACTGCGGGATACATGCCCTAGCCTCTCTGTCTGGTTCAGCCAGTGCACATAAAGGCACGTCAGCCTCTCTCGGTTAGTCCTTCTTAATCCTAACTTCATGGCAGTACGCGAACCCGTCATCCACTTACGCGATGTTGAGCCTCGATTGCCGGATATGACTGCTTGGGAATACTTCAAGCACAAGAAAGTGCACTGGCTCGTCGAAATGCTCGCCGAAATGGTAGGTGGTTAACCCGTCTCCCTTGCTTGGAATTCCCGTTTAATATTAGCTCAGCTCGGCGCGTTTCTCTACGTCTATTCAGGTCAAGTAACTTTCCATGATAGGCTATAGATACTTGGGCTAATTCTGCTGGTACGTACAGGTCTAGGGTCCACCGCAGCATATGTAGTCGGAGCGATAACATCACAAAATGGGATCGGATGTCGGTAATTTTTTCATTGAGGTAGAGGCTCCCTTATGATGTGGCATGCCATATAGCTCTATATACCGTCGGCTTTTCGTACGCCATCGGTGTCGTAATTTCTATCACACTTTGCGCGGCAACCTCGGGTGGGCATATTAATCCGGGACTTACCATAACTCTCTGCATGTTCAGGGGTTTTCCCATTGCTAAAGTGGCGAGGTTCGTATTGCGTAGCACTTTTCCTTCGTTGATCATCTGTTCGAAGTTACCCCGCAGATATATCCTCGCTCAGGTACTTGGCGTCTACGTGGCTTGTTTAATAATTTACATGCAATGGAAAGACCATCTAGTTGTAAGTACCTGTTTCCCAACATCCTGGCGGATTTCTTAGTCTTGAGCTTCGTGCTACTGCGAGGCTGCCGAAAATGTCTTAAAGGCGCAGGGAACTTATGATACCACAATGTTCACGAATGTTGGGCCAGCGGGAGTGTTCGCACTTTACCCAACTCCGAAGGTGAATCTATATCGTGTGTTGCTCAACGAGTTCATGAGCGTGAGTCGTTGAACTCGTTTCCCCGCTTGTATTGACGTTCAGAATGTTATTCCCGTCACACGTGCAGAATTTCGTACTTGGTCTCGCTATATGTGGATGTAGGGATCCGACGAATCACTTCGTCCCCCCTGCACTCGCACCTTGGATCATCGGTTTCACATAGTAAGTGTGATTTTTTTTCGTCCTCTCAACCCTCTGAGAATGACCACACTGACAGTGCGGTTGTGATCTGGGGATACGCTCCGACAGGTGGTAAGTCGGTTTTTGTTTAATTTTTCAACAGAATGCAATGTGGAAATCGTTGTTCCATAATTACCTTTTCAGCACCTGCTAATACTGCTCGAGATGTCGGGGGACGCCTAATGGCAATGACAATTTGGGGGCCGAAAGCCTCTGGGGGGGCATACGCCGCCATATCAGCGCTGACGAACACCCCTGCCACTATTTTGGCCTTTGCCGTCTACGATTTTCTCCTTGGCTCTTCGACTCGCGGTACGTTTCAGTTGCTACTTAAATTTTCGGGTGTCTCTGTGACGCCGCCATCTACACCTTTTGTCATAGTAATCACTTCACATCATGTTGAAGTTTACCGCGCTCGTACGCAGTACCACACAGAAAACGACCTCCAATTGCAAAACCCAGACCGTATTGCAAACGTGGCTAGAGCTAAATCCGTTGGGAGAACAACCACGGACATGACTTCTACGGAGGGTCCGATGTGCCGAGAACATGACAGCAGGAAGCCGCCCTTCTCAGCCCGTTCATATCCTATGCCTTGCTCCTCCCACTCTACCTCGGAGGTACAACCCTACTTTCATACGGACGGCCCAGTGTTCTGAGAACCCTTCCTGTGCACCCTGAATCTCGATTGGTGTGCGAGGACGTGAGGAAGCCGTTCTTCTCAGCCTATTCATATCTTATGTCTTGCTCCTCCCACTCTCCCTCGGAAGTATAATCCTATTTTCATACGGAGGGCCTGGCGCTCTAAGAACCCTTCCTGTGCATCTTGAATCTCACTTGGTATGCGAGGACGTGAGGAGGCCGCTGTTCTCAACCTATTCTTATCCTATGTCTTGCCTTGTTCCTCTCGCTCTACCTCGGAATAGTTCTAGAGTATAATCTTATTTTCATCCCGTACCAGTCGTAATATCGATGTAACGTAACCATGTCAATCCAACACACACCCTTTCCTCTGCTTTGTCTCATACTCCCAGTCGTTGACCGGTGTTCCTATTGAGACCCGCACAACGCTTCTCTGGGACCCCGTCACTGCCGCTCATCTAATCAGGATGCGTCCATGAGACATACCTTGTCGCATTCCCATTCTTCTTATAGCTTCGAAGATCCAGGACCAAGCTCGTCCGAGACCTTAACGACCCTAGAATCCCAAATCAGTCCATGTCGGCTCTTACTACTTCTCGCCAGGCAGAGACAAACCACAACAACGTACAGTTTTCCGTCGTTAGCGCCAGAGTATAGCATCAGTAATGCATTGGGCGCCTTCTCAAGACCCTCAACGATATGGAATTTTCGTTTGATGGATCCATCGGCGAGCCCAACGGCCAGTTCTTTGACTGCCCTGGGATACTCTGATGCGTAATCGAAACTGTGTTGTCATACGCTTGAGCATGTTGTCGACGACGATGATAACGACGATGCAATGCTGGGAGAATACCTACATTATGAAGCCTTCCATCTTTGCGCGTTGAGCGATAAGGTTCATGTAATTCTGAAGTCCTTGATGAGACTCCGCTGAGTCTGATGGAACATCAGAACAAGGGTTAGGGAGCATCGATGTCAACAAGCGACTGACTGTATGCTGAAATGGCACCTGGCGGACACCCAAGGTCACATCAGTACGGGTATGTTCATGAGTTCAGTGATAGCTCATTATATACCAACCACACAACGCAATTCGAGCACGTTTGTTCAACCTCGTGAGGGCAAGATCCAAGATACCGCCTCCCACATTATCGAAGTACACGTCCAAATACCCAACGGCGTCTTTAAAGTCCTGTTTGAAGGTGGGCAACTTGTAATTGAGGGCCTTATCGACGCCCAGCTCCGTTTCGACCCAGGCACACTTTTCAGATGAGCCAGCGATGCCGATGACCCGCGCTCCTGCGCGTTTACCGAGCTGGCAGACAAGTGAACCGACGGCACCTGCTGCACCAGAGACGACGAGCGTCTCGCCGGCTTTGAGTTTTCCAACGTCATGGAGACCCTGCGAATTTTAGTGCGAACGAGTGAACTACATAATAATTTCAGTACAAGAATTTTTCCGAAACCCACAAAGTATGCTGTCATGCCTGTTGGGATCGAGCCCTGTTCAAAGAAACCATCTAACAGTACTCAGTTCGACCCACTCACCAGTCAAGCCGAGGGTATTCAAGAAGTCAAGAGATGTGCATCCTGGAGGCGGTCTGAACAACGATCGACAAGTCAATGATCTTCATGTGCCAAGAGGCTATTGCGAAGGAGGCGTACGTTATCTTCTGAAGTTTCCTATCATCCAGTACAACATATTCTGTCCAACCTGTTTACGCCGATTACCATCGGGTTATAACAGCCCAACTCACGAGCCACATTTTCAGTAAAACTCACCAACAGTCCCAGATACGAGATCACCTTCCTTGAACTGGCTTCCGCTGCCCACCTGCACCACGACACCCAACCCAGCTGCTCGCATGACTTCTCCGATCCTGCACCGGAGGCAAGTAACTTCTAGTGTCTCTCAGCCACCCGCGCATTGCGGGGTCGAGGGAGAGATATGTCACTCGAACGACAACTTGATTTGGTCCGGGTACGAGGTCATCCTTGGACGCCGTCTTCGTCTCGAAGGTATCAGGGAGGATATCGGCCTACTGGGCGTTCGCGCAGGACGATGCGGGTATAGGTGCTAGTGCTAGACATGATACTGGGCCAGTCCAACAATAATGTCGTGTCGTCTTCTCCCTTACTTATATATAAAAAAGATTTGATAGATATCGTGTCACCGTACATATGTACGTTCACAGTATTACATAATGCTCCCCGTACGTTGACCGGGTGCTTGCATATCTGTGTTCGAAACTGAGAGGAACACTAGAATATCTATCACAGTCACCGTCTGCACCTTGTCCAATAAGCACTGACGACGTATGTATGTGCTCAATGCGGGTTCCGTCGAATCCCTACTTGGTCCCTACAGAGCCCGTATATTGCTACCTAGAACGCTCTCTCCTAATTTGAATGGAACCTTGGTAACGGATGATATGATCATCCCGAGGTCCATGTGGAATGTCGACAACCTCATGAGACGTATTTCATCGAGTATGTACCTGTCATCTTACGAGTCAGGGGCATGCTGAGTCAGTTATCAGTGACGGAATGTACGTATGGGTATTCGATAGTAACTTAGGCATTGATACGGGACATCTGCGCAGGGTCAGACACTCCAGGACGTCACTTGCAGCTCCAGTGGCATGTAGTAACTGCTTCTGGGTCGATGGATTATCCTCGGTAAGTCCTTCCCACTGCCCTTCGAACGGGGAGAATATATATTTAGAAACACATTAGGAGTGCCTATTCGAACAGTAGTGTTTGAAGACCGACAGCAGAAAGTGATATCAAGATGGAGCAAGTCCAGGATTACGTGCGTATATCGATTACATATCCAACGGAAATTAAAGCAGCATTGAGCAGCAGCAGCACATCGTCTGGGAAAGCAGGTGAACAAAAGAGGACTAGCGAGTTGAAGGAAGCATCACGCTCGATGAATTTTGGGCGCTGGAAGTAAGCCAATTAGGCCAAATGTCAGAGCGTACAGACCAGACGCTGATCAAAAGTGATTCAACAGGCACGTAGGATGAGAAACGGGGAGCAAAGGTTTACCTCCGATGACTCCTTCGATGTATCCGAGTTTCGACCATTTTCCGAGAGTGATAGAGAGTAAGGACCACCCGGCAAGGATAGAGGCGGTAAGTACGGGAATGACAGAAGATAAAACGGGTGATTGGCGCCATAAACGATACTAAAAGGTGAGGGACGGGGGTGAGGCATTGTGGGATGTAAAGATCACCCGAAGGACGTACGTTCAGTTCGATGCCCTGTATCCAGGGTACAAATAACACGTATAGGAACAACCCGATGACGAATGACCCAAGAGCGAGAGAAAGCAAGGCAGATAATCTGTGTATAAAATATATGACGCTGTTCAGGCATGAACAGGGGCAAGATGTATAGGGGGTATACTCGCCTTGCCATATTGCTCGGTTCTGAGTGGGTCGACAAGTCAAGAACGACGTGGTGAGTGTCAAAGGCGTATGTGATGATGGCGCCAGGAATGATGAATTTGAGCTGACGAAATGTGTGTTTGGAAATGGACTCTCCAATAGACTGTGGATGGAATCTAGGCATGATCTCGTGTCCCGGGGATCGCAAATCGATGTGCGAGTGTGTAGTTGGTTGCCCGAAGGTGTGGTGGGTCGTATCACATGCTATACGCATTGCCATGAAATTTCATTCCGTCGACCCCCATTATGTTCCATATATGGCATGCCCCACCTCCACGCCCCCACAGCGAAACACGTTTGTCATATGTAGTCAAAGTAGTCTCTCTAATGGCACGCGGAAAGCCAGCCAAGTCAATCGTAGTCAAGGTACCTCGTCATGGTGCCCAGCGTATAGGCACACGACTGACGGCGTCAGTCAACGCTGTCGTTCGAAAGGATAATAAAAATCTAAAACCCAAGTCTCGCATCCGATATCATCACAACGGCAACCCACCGTCCGGAGCTCTTACGCAAGCCATCGTAGGTTTCAGGCAGATACCGGCAACAGATCACTGACGTCGTAACACCCCAGGAATCAGCTTCAGAATGGAACTCACTCCTCCTCACGGCTCGCGCAGAAAGAGGGCCGCAATGGGACGTTGGAACACAGCAGTACGTCGACGATCTGCATAATACTTGCCAAGATGACTGAGACATTTTATGTGCACCTTAGGTTTCAGGTCGACCGCGACTCTGACCTTTATTACAACCCTACACCTCTACAGGAAGCCGTGAAACAGCAACGCCCCGCGGAGGAAGAAAATATGCCTCCGCGAGTACCCATGATGCAAACCCCAGATTTTCGACACGAGTCTCCACGCATCACGCGGAACCCCTCTGGGTCAACGCCGGGGCAACAGAATTATGTTTACAGTTCCCCACGCCACCCTCAACACCCTCCGCAAGGAACACCGTATGGTGGGATATCCCCAGGGACATTTTTATGGCGACCCACGTGCAGGGGTTGGGCCTGTTGGAGTTGGGATGGGGGGCTATGTCGCCGGATACTCGTAGGCGTTTAAGACCAGAGGACAGTTTCATTGCGCTCCATGGATCCTAAATGTTTTTTTGTGTGCGTTGTGTAAGCATGCTATGCACTTTGCTATCTGCTGGGTCACAGTACTCTGATTTACTACACTAATACGTCCTGTGATACCTTTCGTTGTGTGCCCGTTGTTTTCTGATCTACACCAAGCTGCAGTCATTACCAGCCATGACATCATGGTATCCAAGTCAGTGTCAGGTTACTGCTTCTTACGAATCATAGCTTCGGGAATTGCACGCCGCGTTATCGCGAACATCGGGCAACCGCGGGGGTCTTATCTAACTTTCTTAAAGGTGGTCTGTTCACAAGCCCATCCCACGGTGGCAATCCACAACTTCAAAATCGCCAGCCACCCCATGGCCTCATTCATACACCTCAACGATGGGAACCAGCTTCCCTGGATTGCGTTCGGCACAGGTACAGCCCTGTACGGTCGCGATGCCACCGAATCCGTCCTGCGAGCTATCGATAATGGATTCATACACATCGACACCGCAGAAAGCTACGGAAACGAAGCGAGCGTCGGCAGAGCTATCAAACTGTCAGGGAAACCTCGCTCGGAGCTGTACATCACCACTAAACTGGGTAAACTGCAGCAGCCAGGGGAAACCGTCAGAAGTGCGCTCCTGGCGTCCCTGAAAAAGTTGAACCTCGACTATGTAGATTCGTACCTCGTACACAATCCCGCGCGCCACCCGGGGAGGTTGCAGCAGATTTGGAAAGAGATGGAGGAGGTGAAGAGGGAGGGTCTTGCCAAGTCCATAGGGGTTTCCAACTTCTACGTGGAACACTTAGAAGAAGTCCTCTCTGTCGCAACGATCATACCAGCTGTGAATCAGGTGAGAACTGCGTCCCATCTGAAAAATACCATCGTTCTACCCATTACCATAACACAGATCGAATTACACCCCTATGTGTGGAAAAGCGCCAAACCCACTATCGCATTCGATAAAGAGCACGGTATCGTCACGTCCTCATTCAGCGGTCTCTCCCCCATCGTTCGATTCCCAGGCGGACCAGTCGATGCCGCCATCAAGCAGATTCGTGCACGACTAGAGAAAACACGCGGTGCTCCCGTGTCGGATGCCCAAGTCCTCATCAAATGGCTAAAACAGAATGGCATATTGGTCGTAACGTGGGTTCTCACACATTCATCGTTGTTGTACAACCATGTGACACTGGACTGACATGCTGACCCCTGGTCTCGTTCCGCTCCCTTATTTATTTTAGAACGTCGTCCAAAGCAGAAAGGATCAGGGAATATCTTGATACCATCAACGTTCCGGATCTCACAGAGGAGGAAATGAAGTTAATCGAGGCCAAGGGTGCCGAGCTTCACAGAAAAGCTTTCGTGAGTCCGTTTACCTGCATACCTATAGTGAGCGCGGGTGCACTGAACGTGCTTTCCATAGTGAATCATTACATTCGTGTCTCTCGAGCCTGTATGTGTGTATGTAATTTAACTTGCCGAGGGAAGACCTATCCTCGCATCAGTATTAATTAAGAGGCGAGGACCATCGCGAACCAAGACAATCATCCTCAACATAAGCGTGAATATCGTTAGCGTACAAATGTCACATCATCTGATCATTTGGAACTATCCAATCCATCTTTTATCCAAGGAGACCCCTCACATACAACGCATCAGACGAGCTTAACCATCGATGATTCCAAAGATGTCGGTACTCTCGCTGCTGCCAGGGTGAACAGTAACATTCGCTATCGCTGGCTTAACCCATACCGCGGAACAACAATCAATGGCAGCCTGCCATCCCTGTACCAAACCAGGCTTCCAATGAATAAAGACTTCGGTAGCCTGGCACGAGCTGACTGATCAGATGACACGGGATTGTGGGAGAGTCCCTCGTGTAATCGTTCGGGTAACAACGGACTGTGAACACTATTAGGCCACAACATGGTACTGACCCAGGCGACACCACCCAAGGGGAATATCAGTCCACAGCAACCACCATTTGGGAGTGACTTATTGTAAGCCTTCTTTTGCACTCGCTGAGACACTCGCAGCCAATAAGAGGGTTCGCTCAACTGCGAAAGAGCTGCTAACAGGCGTCGTTTGGCTGTCGGTAGTCCCAGAACCACAGGTCCCCAGGTAGTGGAGTCCCTTTGCGTAATGCTTCACTCCACCTACAGGAGTTTATCGTGGTTCACATGTGCAGGGCACTAGCACTATATCTCCACGTTTCACCTGCAAAAAGGAAGCTGCTCCATCCTGCTATCGATCAAGGGTGCGGCAAAATTCTCCGGAGGATTCAAACGATAACGTTGCGCCACCGCTATCGTCAAGGGTGGTGCTGATTCTGTGGCCTTGCCTATCTACGGGAAAAATCTTCATGGTGCTTCAACTAACCGGGGTGCCGGTGGTACCCTTATTCCATGGCGCATACCTGTCAATCGAGGATCATATTACTAGCCAGAAGGGTCGAAGGATCGAATGGTGAGTTCTCATTGACGTCGTGGACCTAAGCGAGGGATTATTGCGAAGCTTCTAGTTGTGTAGCTTCCAAACGTGTGTCAGTATTAGAATTTGGATCCATACGACGGCTCGCCTGAATTGCAGGTTTGAGGCTGTTGCCGGCTGCGAACACGGAGAAGGATACCCGTCTTCCCGGGAGAACGCTTGCCCCTCGATTTTCCTAGCAAATCTTCGCTTCCTCTAACACAATGAATCACCTGAACACTGCCTGTATATGTACGAAGAATGACAATAAAAAGGGTACCATGCAAGCTACTTTATGCCACATACGATTCAGTCTATATAGGTAAGTGTTATCCGTCTGTCTATTATGGTTTCAAGTAACCTGTGATCAGTAGGGTACCTTACCCTTGGAAGAAAGGGTGTGGATGTGAATTCTAGTAAGACCCAACCTTCTCGTCCGCCGCAACTCTAATGACAGAAGGAATGCAGGCTGCCGAATACCGATCACCGCTGCTTAGATCAGTGGAGGAAAAGTTGTCCAATGGTGTTATAGGACTCGGGAAAGTCAAGGCGTGGTTTGGGGCGATATATCTAGTAGGTTTACTCATGGCAGCATTCTCCAACGCCGCAGTTCTAAAGACAGAATTGAATGGTGCCTGCCGAATGCAGATTAACGGCACCTAGTTCCCCTGGAGGAAAGTTGGGTATTATTGTCCAGTATCGTTATAGAACTCAAGATCACTCGGCAGAGGCTCAAACACAGGATACAACGGAGGGTACTATTCTTGTGATACTATTTAGGATCTCTGTCTGACGTAGGTAATGGGCCGGGGCGGGTTGTCTTTACTCGTGGGTCTTAGCTTATTAGCCCCGTCCGTTCCCAGGCCCTGTTGGAAACCATTTACGCCCTCTCAAGTATCTCCCCACTTGTGACTGAAGATGGTCATGATCCTTTCCCCCTTGGAACTAATCTTGGCTGGAGCGAACGGCCGTCAGCTGCACTCTAGTACTGTTATCAGGCGTGTTGCCAGCTCCACCGCGCTCCAATGGTGCGGTCTTTCCAGAATCAGTTTGAATTCGAAGTGTGAGTTCTTCCATGTTTTCTGGGGATACCTGCAATGCCGCCGCATCTGGTTCAGGATTATCCATCTGATCATCGGCCATGTGTCCCAACACCAATTGATCAGGTGGCCCGTTCGTGAGTGTGGGTTCTTCGTGATCTGTGGGGAAACCCATTTCGGTGTTCCAGGTCGATCAGATCTTCTATTCGGAAGCCAGCTCCCGCACCATTTTCTCTCTTGGTTATGCATCATTCAGCTACGTAGCCGAGGTGCAGTCTTGCTCACCTAGGGTTAACTGACACGTCTTGTGACAAGAAGCTAAAGCTCCAGTCGCATTACTGCTTCAGGATGGGTGGCCTGATATGCTGCTGGCTGGACCGGATAAAAGGGCGCAGATTTTTCCTTCCTTCCTCAGGCTTTTGTCTCTACAATACCTGTTCCCCACTATATGAGTTATACTCGTGGGTCCCTTTTACCTCTTAGTGCCGCTATACCCTCATACTGACTGTAATCAGCATTAACCATGCCAGAAATCACCGTTGGCAGATGGCTCCCAAAGGACCCAGCAGTCGTTGAAGCGTTCGTGAGCAACTTGCTCGTGCACAGTCGTGTTATCCACGGCCGTCACCCTAAAACCTGCGTGCGTTTTGCGGAGGTGGGAGAGAACCTGGAGACGGCGATAAGCAGAACCGACATTCAGTTCGACCTAAACCGCTTGCGGTGCCACTATCGCATCACCGTCGGCCAGGAGCAGGTTTATACTGTCCGCGCATTGCACCCTATAGTGCAGGAATTCCAAGATTTCATCGAGAGCGAGGTTGTGGTCTATACTGCATTCAACGAGATGTTCGAACAAGCTCCCCCGCCTCAGAACCCGGACCAAGAAAAGGTATATAATTTCGACTTTTGCGATTGTTACTCGGCTCATTTCAGTCTAGATCAAAGACTATGTTGACTTGATGGAGATGATCGACACAAATCTGTCGACAGCACCCAAGTATAGTGATGACCCCGTGAGCGCTATGGTAGCGGGCGTTCCCTATTACGGTATCATCTCGCGGTTTTGCAACACTCCCGCGGGCTATATCGCGTTCACCCATCCCGGAGTCAATGAGAGATTCTACAGGGTGTTCACGGAATGGCACAGGTTCCTCACGAAGCCAGAATCCACCAGCGTCCTCAACACGACAGACGGCTGGCTTAGTCCTGATGCGCTCAAGGCTATTGTCAAAAGTTCTGGTGGTGACCCCGACAAGGATACGTTTGAAAGCTTCTTTGAGTGCAATCCCGACGATCCTACCTATGGTTTCAACTGCTATGACGATTTCTTCGTCAAGGAGTTGCATCCCAGACACCGTACCCCTGTTTTCCCCGACGACCCAACGATCGTCAATTCTGCATGCTGGTCTACTGTCCACAAGCTTTACTACAGCCTCAAGGAGACCGACAGATTCTGGATCAAAAATACTCCTTACTCTCTCAACAACATCCTCGCCAAGGATGAGCTTGTTGATACCTTCGTCGGCGGGACCCTTCTCCAGGCTATACTTGATGCTAAAGACTACCACCGCTGGCTCAGTCCCGTGAATGGTACTGTCGTAAAGACACGCCTAATTTCTGGCGCGACGTATCGTGACTCGCCGTCAGTCCCGCATCCAACCTATTACGCGGCTCGCTTGGACGATGACGATAAGGATCTGGACGTCATCTCCCGCTCGCAAGATTTCGTCTCGAACGTCTCCACACGTGCTTTGATCTTCATCCAAGCTGAGGAGCCCGTTGGCTTGATGTGCTTCGTGGGTGTTGGCTTGGGCGAGGTGTCGACCTGCAACGTGATCGTCGAGCAGGGCCAGAAGCTCTGCAAAGGAACTGAGCTTGGCCAGTTCCACTTCGGAGGATCTACCCACTGCCTCATTTTCCGCCGTGGCTTGACTGTGAAGCCACTTGATCAAGACGGCGAAGATTTGGTAGGATCGAAGGTGCGAGTTGGCAAAGACATCCTCACCGTAACAAAGCAGAATTGAGTTGATAGCTTTGCTCGCATGTTGATGTAAACCTTACGAACAGTGTCATTTCTCGTGTGTACGATAGCGTAGTTGAATTGGTGTGTTGACGTCTTTGTATACGATGTAACATATCAGGCTTTACGAAGGCGGTGTCATCTTTATGCAAACATTTGATCACTTGGTTCAGTTTAAGGTGCCAGCAGCGTGTCAATGGGGGCTAAAAACCCTGGGTCAGAGCAGCTCGACACTCCTTATCTTTCGGTCTGATTTACCCTTAGCTGTGTTCGCTGATCCCACAGGGAGAGGTCGGCAAACATGTACTAGCCTGAGGGGTTTTCCCCTTACCTAACTCAGGCTCGAAGACTGTATCCGGGTCATATGGGTACAAGAGTAATCGGGTTAGGTTTGCGACGGCAGGTATGTTTTAACTCTCGGTATTTGGTGGCTTGGAGGGGGGAGTATATGCTCTCCCTTTGTTATTAGTTGGAACGGACATAACTAAGTTACGTTGAATCCCTTTGGATCGAACTAACTCGTGTTTTCTTCTATCGCTACGTTTGATCGCGTTTTCCTTACCTTGGCAAGCTTCGCCCGAAGTGCCCTCCTGACGTCCCTGAAGAAGCTGAACGTCGACTATGTAGGTTCGTACCTTAGGTTTCTCAGCCGCGCTACTAATCGACTGCCAGCTGGTCGACGACAAAAAGGTGACATCCAGCAATTGAATAGCACCGTCGAGTTCGCTCTATATATATAAAGCCCAAGTCGTGTCAGAAAACGAGACCAACCAACAAATATCGTCACAACTGCTGACCTTGGTCGCTCAAATGGAAGATATCGAGGACGGTGAAGGCCGGCTACCTCTGTCACCATGATTTCTTGGTCAGTTGACAGTTGTGCTGTAAGGGAAGCGTGAACCTACGTGAACTTCTGGAGGTTAGGCGTCATCAATTTTCCCATAAACCCCGAATGACGGAAATCGTTCTGTTCTCAACGCTATTCCCTTACTCACAAAGGCACCAAGACAATACATAGTCATATCCCGGGTCATCATCGGGTGATGGTAGATGGCGACGAGGCAAGTCTCATGCTCCCTCGCAAGATGCGGGACACTCACCAGCCGCCGTGACGGATCCACTGCTAAGCAGAGTTTCATCACCTGGTGATCTCCCTACTGAAACAAACATCCGCTGGAGCTATCATAGTTTAGCCGGAATTTGGTGTCCTGGAAAACGGAGGTATTGAAGTTGGTGGCCGCTTGACGTGGCAGCTAGAGAATGTGAATATCATCATAGTTTGGAGGAACACTTTTAGCAAGGAAGATAACTACTGGGATGGACGTGATGCGAGGTTTACACATGGGCAGTTGTCTGACGATGATATATTGATATATGATACTTGCAGCGACGCGAACGCGTCGGATCGCATCAATGTCACGTGGCCACTTGTGACCTCGATAAGAAGTTCCTACATCAGGAAATTCACACATTACTATTTTCATACTATTCTCATACTATTTATGTCTTATTTGTACTATTTGCACTGAAATAGTCATAAAAGACAGAATAGTCATTTTAGTAGGTTCATTTACTATCCACACCATTCTTTGTACTATCTTTTGACCATCTTTCAACTATCTATGCTATTTTCACCACTATTTCTACTATCCAACTTCTCACTGGCATCATTTGTTCAGCTCAAATGTAGGGTATAGAAATCAATCAATGTATTCAGGATAAAGTGCAGCACAAAATCAATTAAATGAGAGTAGCCCTATTGATGAGTTGAGAAAGAGCAGCTACAAAACTTGGGAATATCTCAACAACCACTGGATGGAGTTGGATGAACAAGGCATCCCTAGAGACAGATTAGTCAAGAGAGTGATCCACCCAAAAAGTGAGAAATGGTGATGAAATGCACAAGATATGATTACAGGACTTTGAGGGTGGACCTTGCCACAGAAATTGAGATATCTCAACAACTGCTGGACAGAATTAGATGAATGAGGCATCCCTTGAGATGGACTATTCAGGAGAGCAAGCCATCAAAAAAGTGAGAAATGCAGTGGTGAGACACACATGATACAATCACAGGACTTCAAGGGTGGACCTGGTCACAGAAATTGAGATATCTTGACAACCACTGGATGGAATTAGATGAACAAGGAATTCCTTGAAGACAGAGTATTCAGGAGAGCAAGCCATTGAAAAAGTGAGAGAAGCAGTGGGGAAATGCATGAGATACAATCACAGGACTTCAAGGGTGGACCTTGCCACAGAAATCAAGATGGTGTTCTTCACTGACAGTGACTGCTGCCATCATTGTCAGGATGTTGTGGGGGTAAAGAAAGAAAAAAAAAAACTTACTTACTGTTGTTGTCAGGATGCTGCAGACAAAAAAAAAAAACTTGCTGGCATGGATGCTGGGGATGGGGGTGGACATCATGGATGTCAATAGCACTGAGGGTGAGAGTGAGAGTGTTAGCTGGGTCTGTGCAACAGAGGGTGCTCACCTGTTGTGGCTGTCATTGTCAATGGCATTGCAACCTGTCCATGTACAGTACTTGGTGGGACTTTGACAATTTTCAAAGTGTTGTGATTACAAATCCAGTGATTTGTAATCACAACAAGTACCTCAGAAAAGTTTTGCCCACTGACATGCCACACAGCATTCCCCTGGACCAGCAGCAGTTCATCTTTGCTGCTTGAAGCCTCTGTGTGCACACCCACACTCATGTCCACCTATGCATGTGCTACTTGGTATATATATATATGTTCATTGGACCCCATGTAGTCCATTTAGTCACAACATATAGGTAGCCTGCATGCCAAAATGCCAACACTTATATAGACCCCACGATGGGCCCATCTAAATAGATTAGCCATGACACATGGACAGGCCTGAGGGCCAATAGTGAGAGCAACATAGATATGGGCCTGTAAATGCAATTCCACAACATATGGGAGGGCCTGTGGAGGGTAAGGATGCTGCAACATATAGACAGGCCTGTGACCGAGTAGGGTATGCTAAGCTACTGTAAGACATGGACAGACCCACCTATTGTATCATGAAGAAGGTCGCAACATATGGACAGGCCTGCCTGTCATATGCTTTATAGGTTCACAACATAAAGAGGGGCCCATCTATGATAGATTACAGAGTTGGCAACATATGGAAGGGCCTGTCTTTGGGATAATATACCCCTGTCACAACATATAGATGGGCCCATCCATAGCAAGATGTATGCCTGTTGCAACATAAGGACAGGCCTGTCAGTAATATCATTGACAGCATCACAACACATAGACAGGCCCATCTAGTAAGATGCATCCCTGCCACAACATAAAGACAGGCCCATCAGTAATGTCATTTATAGTGTCACAACATATGGATGGGCCCTTCCATAATACCATTTATACCATCACAACACATGAGTGGGCCCATCCATAGTAAGATGTACCTGTCACAACATAAAGACAGGCCCTTCAATATATATCATTTACAGGGTCACAACACATGGACAGGCCTGTCTAGTAAGATGCACCCATGTCACAACATAAAGACAGGGCCTTTCAGCAATATCAATTACATGGTCACAACACATGGGCAGGCCTGTCAATAGCAACATGTATGCCTGTCACAACATAAAGACAGGCCTGTCAGTAATATCATTTACAGTGTCACAACACATAGATGGGCCCATCAGTAATATCAATCACATGGCCGCAACACATGGACAGGCCCATCAATAGCAACATATATGCCTGTTGCAACATAAAGATGGGCCCATCAGTAATATCATTTACAGTGTCACAACATGTAGATGGGCCTGTCTAGTAAGATATGCCATCCCAACATAAGGATGGGCCTGTCAGTAATATCAATTACATGGTCACAACACATGGATGGGCCTGTCAATAGCAACATGTATGCCTGTCGCAACATAGAGATGGGCCTGTCAGTAATATCATTTACAGCATCACAGCACATAGATGGGCCCATCCAGTAAGATGCACCCCTGTCACAACATAAAGACAGGCCCATCAGTAATATCATTTATAGCATCACAACATATGGAAGGGCCCTTCAGCAGTATCATTTATGTGGTCACAACATAAGGATGGGCCCTTCAGCAGTATTATTTATATGGTCATAACATATGGATGGGCCCTTCAGTAATATCTTTTATATCGCCATAAAACAAGGATGGGTCTGTCTAGTAAGATCCACCCCTGTCACAACATAAGACAGGCCCAACACCAATAGCATGTATAGCATCACAACATATTGATTGGATCACAGCAAAATATTGAGGCAAGTGTCCTGACATGCTGTAATTTTCCAACAAGCTGCAAGTGGCTTGCCCACTATAACAACTCTGACCTCATCCACCCCAAGCATGAATACTATGCAAGACACATCTAAAACCCCCCATGGATGGTGAATGGAACTAACAGACTGCATTGTGTCATACAGTGAAAGCCAGATTTCAAGAGGAGGTATTCAGCAGACCTTGTGCCCTTCCAGATATATCAATTCCATTTCCAGTGTTATGTGAAGCAGATCACATATCATCAGTAATCTCACAGGTCCTATCATCACCCAAGCAAGTCCATCATAATGGTGCAATGGAAGTTTTCATCTGTCCACAGTCAATGTTGGGAAAAATTGGGGTCGAAAAAACCTGCAATGCAGAAGCTGCTGAGAGATACACAGAAGTGACTGAGCTGTCCATTCTGGTGACTGACTCAAACACCATCCACATTTGGTATTTGCTGGATGCTCTCAGCCCAAAA